AACTCGATTTGAAAGGGGCTTACCAGTTAGTCAGAATAAAGGAAGGAGATGAACATAAAGCTGCCTTACGAACAAGATACGGCAGTTTCGAGAGCACAGTCCTAAGGGATGGGTTGTGTAATGCACCAGCCACCTTTCAGAACTTTCTACAAGACATGTTTCACGATCTACTTGACGAAGGGGTAGTAGTTTATATCGACGACATCACGGTATACTCCGACACGATCGAAAACCATCAGATCATTGTCCAAAAGGTGTTAGATCGACTACTTGAAAACGATTTGGTCGTCAGTCCGAGGAAATGCGAATGGAGTTCAAATGAAGTGAAGTTCCTGGGGTACGTAATAGGACACGAACGGATCGAAATGGATCAAGAAAAGGTGAAAGCTATTCTAGAATGGGGAGAACCCATGACAGTCCGGGATACTCAAGTGTTCTTGGGTTTTGCGAATTTCTATCGGAGGTTTATCAAGGGGTTTTCGCATATTGTGGGACCTCTCACACAATTGACTAGGAAGGATCAAGCTTGGAACTGGACACAAGAATGCCAAAAGGCTTTTGACGATCTAAAGAAAACATTCACCACAGCACCAGTACTTCGACATTTTGATAGAACCCGACCGACTTGGATTGAAACCGATGGATCCGATTGCGCGATAGGTGCGATAGCGTCTCAGAGATTTCCTCACCCATCAATAAAAGGAACCACCGAACTTCACCCAGTAGCGTACTGGTCTCGAGCAATGACGCCCTGTGAGCTAAACTACACGGTGGGAGAGAAAGAATTATTAGCCATCGTGGATTGCTTGGTCGCCTGGAGACCCTACTTGGCTAACAGTAGTGATGTTATAAAGGTCATTACCGATCACAAGAACCTAGAATACTTCCAAAGCAAACGACAACTAAATCGAAGGCAGATGAGATGGTTGGAAATATTGGGAGACTTCAACATAGAGATCACTTATCGACCAGGGAGCAAAAATGGGGGAGCAGATGCTCTGACGAGACGAGGAGATTATCATCCGGGAAGAGGGAGTAGCAAGGACCCGAATCTTAACAAAGGCAACTGGCTACAATTGCTACCAACACACGAACAAATTGGATCGAATTCAATGGACTCAGAACACAAAGGACCAAGACACATAGTAAGAGGAGCAATCCGGGAAGACTCATTATTCGGACTCATCAAGAACGGACTGAAAGACTCAGAAGACATAGCAAACATACGACAACTAGGACTACAGATGACACAGACACATAGCACACAGAGCACACAGAGCACCCAGAACACACAGGACACACAGAAGACACAGGCTAGCAGCGAGACACCAATAGTATCATGGACACAGAGCGGATTACTCTTATACAAAAACAGAGTAGTCATACCAGAGGGACAGGCAAGATTAGAAGTAATGAAAGCAAGACACGATTCGATGCTAGTGGGTCATCCAGGAAGAGACAAAACTATCACCATGGTCAAAGAGGACTATTACTGGCCACATTTGGACGAGTATATTGCAAAGTACGTAAAAGGATGTGAGATCTGTAACCGACATAAGACTCATCGACATCAGCCGTATGGACATCTGGTCTCTTTACCAGTACCCACACTGCCCTGGACAGATATCTCTATGGATATGGTGGGACCCCTACCAAAATCGACCGAGTTCGACGCGATACTGGTGATAGTCGATCGACTAACCAAGATGGCTAGATTTATTCCATGTACAACTGGACTAACAGCGAACAAAGTGGCCGACATCTACATCAAGGAGATCTTTTCAAAACATGGAGTACCTCGAACAATTGTATCAGATAGGGGAACTCAGTTTACGGCGGAAATTTGGAAGGAAATATGTCAGTTCTTGGGAATAAAGAACTTATACTCGACTGCGTATCACCCTCAAACAGATGGACAAACTGAGCGAGTAAATCAACAGATGGAAATCCTGCTCGGAATGTATGTAAACTACAACATGGACAATTGGGATCAACTTCTACCAATTGCTGAGTTCGCTTATAACTGTTCGCCACATAGTAGCCACGGTCTGTGTCCCTTTGAAGCCTGTTACGGCTATGTGCCACACTACGACATCCATTCGCACGATATTCGATCAAAGTCAAACAAGTTGGAGAGGAAATGGAGGGATATGGGAGAGTTACATGCGGCTGTTCAAGAACAGGTCAGGATGGCGAATGAAATTAGTGCAGAGTACTACAACAGGAGACACAAGAGCATACCAGAAGAATTCAGAAAGGGAGAACAGGTACTACTAAGTACAAAGTATCTTACGACGGAAAGACCCAGTCGAAAATTAGAAGCAAAATACGTTGGCCCCTTCAAGATCATAAGGAGAGTGGGGAAAAATGCTTTCGAATTAGATCTACCTCCATCAATGAGAGTGCACAATGTCTTCAATGTCACGTTGTTGGAACCATATCCTAGAGACATGATACCAGGTCGACAGATACAACCCCCACCACCTGTAGTAATAAACGGCCAGGAGGAATTCCATGTGGAAGCAATTGTGGACAGTAGAATTCGACGAGGAAAGGAGGAATTCAAGGTAAAATGGTTAGGATACACAGGGAATGCGGCCTATGACTGGGAACCACGAGAAAATGTAGAAGAGTTGGCCGTTTTTGGTGAATTTCTGGAAAAGAGGAAAAAAGATCCCAGAAGAAAGTGAGAATTCGATCAAAATCAACGGAATTTATTGGGAAATAAATACATACACAGGAAATATGGCTACGTATAGAGAGATATAAAATACACTAGAAGTTGGAGGTGGTAGAATTGGCTCGGGGACGACGGACCGAGGCGGGAATACGAATGACATTGCGGGGGAGAGGAGTATGGGGAGAAGAGGAGGGACCGGCGACTGGTTGAGAAGAAGTCAATCCGGTTGGATCAGCAGCAGAGGTGAGATGATCCAAGGTTTCAGAAGGAGAGGGAGGGGTGTAGTTGGAAGGAATGAGATGAAGAGATTTGTAGAGGCCCAGATGTACTGGGGGAAGAGGAAGAAGGAGAGAGGAAAAGAGGTGAATGTAAGCGGAGAGTTGGGTGAGAGAAGAGGATTGATCCTGGGAGGAAAGGGATCGATATCGGGCCGAGACAGCACAGAGTTCGTGCTCCAGGACGAAGGTAACCTTGGAAGTAACAGTCTGGGCTCCGACAGTAATACCCTTTACATCAACATCGACCAAGTTCGAAGGAAGAAGATGGATACCTCGCGAAATTTGGACTCGGGATTGTTGGTTTTCACCGAACACTTTGAAGTTCCCTTCGCGGAGCACTCTCCACAAACACCACCAACTAAGTTGCATCAATATCGAACAGGAAGAGTAGGAAAACTCACGAGGACCGATACAACCTACACGAAAATCTTCTCCACCATCGAGACGACGCTGGCAATCGGAGCAAAGCTCACCCTCGAGACGGACAACAGCGCCATTCTTGTTACGAAGTCGCCAACCTTGGGCCAAGCGATCAAGCTAACAGTTAGAATTCGGTGGAATACGAAGGAGAAAAAGCTCACGGCGTTACCAAACCACTTGACAGTGGGCTTGATGGCCCCAGTCTCGCGAAAGCGATCGAGGGCTTCATCCTTCAGAGCGTGACGAACAGAGGAGAAAGAAAGGCGGGCCCAGAGGGTAGCTGACGAGTCAGAAACGCACAGAATTCTGTAGAAATCTCACCAATTTCCGAGTCTTTTCGAGCATCCAGAGCCTTAGCAAGTTCATCATTGACCGGAACCTTGCGAGGGGCGTGAAAAATGGTTTCGAGTTCATGGGGAACCTCGACAAGCCCCTCGGAATCAGAAGGTGGCACAGGGGACTTATTACCAGGAGAATTTTGATTTTCAACGATGGTACCGTGTTCGGACTCGACAGATTTCGCAGGAGATGGGTTCTCACCAGTGGTAGATGGCCCTGCCCCCGCTTCGAAGTCGATATATTGCTCGATGACCTCGTCATCGAGAAGAGACGATTGTTGGTCGCGAGAAGGGCCGGATTGATATCGATCCTTAATGGTGTCGAGAGCCCTTCGAGAAGCGTCAACCAATGGAGTTTGAGAGGGAACTGGCGCTTGGGAAGTAATTCTCATTCTTTTCGTTTGACGCATGAGAAGTTCGGGATCGACGTCGGGGAGAATGGCCACAGTAGAGGCCCGAGTTTGACGAGAAGAGATAGACGAGGACAACTAATCTCGTCAGCCAGTGATAAACAGGAGGAAGTGCATCGAATTCGAAGAGAATTGCTTACAGTACGCTTGGACATGCTCACAGACAGGTCAGAGTTGGAAGGATGCTCTAAGATATGAGTAAGATATGGATGGATAATGATAGATGAGTAAAAAGAATGACAAACAAGAGGTAAAGAGAGAATGAGGAGGAAAGAAGAGAAAGAAGACGGGGAGGTAACTTGGTCAGTAATTTCTCGATCACATTGGAGGTCCGTGCGGGTGACGCGTTTTCATGGCAACCATCACACTAGCGTGGGTATGATGTCAGGGCGCACCAAAGGTGTCTAAGAACAATCCATGTGCATCACCTGGTTACAGGGTTCAGGATCCTCGGCGAGGATCCTTGAGACAGGGGGGGAAACTTGTTACGGGGTAACAACGAATCGAGGGAACTCTATCGAGTTCGACGGATTAGGACAGAGGAAAGCGGGAGTTGGAGGCAGTGCTGCAGTAGGTAGGGACGGGTTTTCCCCTTTCGAGATTTTCCCCACTGGGTTTGCTCAAAGCGGTTTTTCACCTGTCCGAGTATGTACATGGACGCTTGCAGTAGGACTGAGAAAAGGAGACGGATACCTGTAGACAGTATATAGTACAATCAGCAAAGTACCAACTTTGCTGATTCTTCAATATCATTCTTTGGCTACATCGATTGCAGAGGAGACACGATCCATTAGCACCAGAGCCCCTAGACTTCCACGAGACCTCCATCGAGTTCGACCCAACCTGCGACCTAGTCGTCGTGTTTCCAGTACCGTTACACAGAAGTGCAAGAAGCACAACGGGATCCGCGATTATGAGGTTTGACCGGTCGAAGACACGGCCACTTTGATCTCCCATACGTGATAATTTCACGGCTACTGATCAGCAGACGTATAACCTTCTAGGGAAGGAACCTACCGACATCTATCACACGACTCATCGATACTTGTGACCTCCCATCGCTCCCTTTCATCGATAAACAACTGCCATAGCCTATCCTGTTCTCGCAACGACGCCTTGCGAGCACTCCCTGGCTCATGGGAAGGGGAGGGAAACAATTCAGCCTGCCCTGTAGAGGACCGAGGGGTCTCTTTGACCCGTTTCGCCGAAGGAGGGGATACTTCGTCGTGGGCGAAAGGGGAATGGCGATGTTTCTCGGCTTTTATTTCAGCCAGAGCTTCCATCTTCTCCTGATACGCAACCCGTTTCTTCCCGAAAGAAGTCTGGAGCCGTACGCGGAATTCAGGAGAACCTTCATTATCACGAACAGCTACATGTCAGCGCTTACGAACAGGGTGTATGACAAGAGGACATACGACTTAACTTTTCCATCTCTGACACCCACGTTTCTCTATCCTCAAACAGCGCTGGGTCACCAAGACCAACGCTGAGGATTTCCTCATCTTCATCGACCTCACCCATCTCATCATCCTCATCGGCACCACCCTTCTCACCATCATCAACCAACACATCCATCTCTTCACCACAACGAACACCATCCATCTCCTCATCGTCATCATCATTGATTTCTACCACAGTGGCAGTACGGCCTGACGGGTGCGGAAGGCCAACAGGAGCAGGTCTGACCTCCTGTTGGCCAGAGGAGAGAGAGGTCGTAACCGCAACAGGGGACGCGGTGGCAGAAGGAACTGCAGCGGAGGCTGCAGCAGCAGAAGGCGAGCCATCGGTGATGGCTAGGGCTCCAAAGCCCATGGACGACACATGGCGGGGAGAGTTCCCCTCCTGAGCGACTAGAACAATCAGCGACAGAGTAGCTTATAGACAGTACGAACAGACTTACGAACAGCGGCATAGCGATCTGCAAAAAATTTATAAGCGTTGAGCTCCGGACGAGAAGACATTTTGTTGAAATATATCAAATTGATATGTTTGGTAAGGTAAAGGCTGAGAATCGATAGACGATGATAGTACGATTTAGGATTGGTACTGGGGAAGAAGAAGAAGTGGGCCGAAGTACTGAGTATTTAGTATAACTAACGCGACTACTCGTCGTCAGGGCGCTGGTAACTTCGCATAACAAGGTGTCTCAGCGACAACAAACACCATGGCGACGATCAGAATTCCCACGCTACGTGTCTCACATTCATATAAGTTAGGGATACGCTGACGAACATCGACGAGGTTTGTTGTACCCCAAATCCTCTGTCTCACTTACAACGTAACCACCACAGGGTAACAACAAGCAACCACGATGAACTCCGACGAAGTTTACTGTCCGATTAACAACGAACCCATGGTATCATCTACCAACAATATTTATATGACAAATTGTGTTTCCTGCAACCTGCTGAGTGTCTTTTTCTTCATTACATGCATACGAAGCTCACGAGGACGTTCGCGCCTAAGGAGGGCGCGACTGTCACGAACTACGTCGTAACATCCCTGACAACCACCATCACCGACCCTCCTTTCACCATCACCGACCTTCCTTTCACCACCACCAACCTCCACTCGAACTACTGAGACCAACTACGACGAAGTTACGAGAACCAAAGGGGGATTTGTCACGATAACCCCGCCTAGCGGAGAACTACGGCGAAGTTAGTGGAAGGGAGCCGAGGGAGAGCAGGACAGGAGAAGTTAGGCGAAGTTAGTCGAAGTGAGCGGAGTAGGATATCGGGGATATGGCGAGGTACGGCGAAGTTGAACGAAGGGGACTGAGCGTGAGGCAGTGCAGGAGTTGAGAGACGTTCTATGAGAGGAGAGGAGTAGTATAGATAGTTTACAGATCGCTGAACTTCTTCAGCGATCCTTGATTGTTGTCAGTAGCGAGAGATATATTCATTAGCTACAACCTTCGAGTTAAGGAGAGCCACCACTTAGCAGTTCAACGTACTACGGCGAAGTTAGCCGCAGTTCATCGACGATCATCCTATCATTTACCACTCGACACATCACTACGGCGAAGTTAGCCGTAGTTCCTCGTCGAGTACCCTGTGTTAGTGAGACAACGACGCCCCATTACAACGTAGTTAGCCGAGGTTTGTCGACCGTCGGTCAGTAGAGAAGAAGAAACGACGTCTGTGACACATCTGCACGGGTCACCCATTCCACTGTTGATCCGCCAATCCACATCTTAGCTTCATCCATAAAGATGACCAAGGGCCAATCGTCAAAATCCTTGTATTTTGCAGCCCATGCAAGCCGGTCTTTTCAATGCTGAGCAGTGAGAATAGGTTTTACTCAAGCTACACGACGTTTGAGACCAAGACGCTTCATGGTGGATCAAAGGGAGTTGAGGGAGATATCAATGCCGTCTTTTCTGAGGGAGGAGAGAATTTGGCGCAAGCTGTGTCGACGATCCTTCAGGAAAGCGTGTTTTACTCGAACCTCCTCGCGTGAGGATAGCTTTTTGGGACATCCAGAGCAAGGTTTAGTCTTGCTGTGACCCAGTTCCAAGCGATGATTGCGGAGACGATAGACTGTAGATGGATGACTTCCAAATCGCTGGGCAACAGACTTGGAAGTGGAGTAAGTGACCACTTCGGCAATGGTGACCCTTTTCAAGGGGGAAATTGGGTGTCCTACCATTCTTGACATGCAGGAGAACGTCTAGACGGAGTATCAGAGCCCCAAATGTCATGTTGTTTGTTCTGCGGCGTTTTGAAAGTGGTGGGGTGCACAAGTGTGGCAGCGGAATGTGACAGTTGTCGCATGACTTTTTGGACCCGACTGTATTTCACTTGGGGCACACCTGTCACAAACTACTTCTTGACATCTCAAATATCAAGGAAAGGTCTTAATTACGCTTTTCGGAATGTTTTTGGACTTAAATACGCCTTTTCCGAGATCTGGGCCTTAATTACGTCTTTTGGCTGGTGGAAGGGTCCTTTTTACTGCCTCCCAGTTAGGGAGGACTATGGGCACCAAGTTAGGGGGGGTATTGATCATGCATAACGACGTTAGGGGGTTAGGGGGTTAGGTGGTTAGGAGTGGAGGAGAGTGTGTTTAATGCATGCAAAGCATGCATTGGGGGTCCAGGAAGGGAGGTGTAATTAAGTCCTCCTTTTTGAGATGGGTGTAATTAAGTCCAAAAACGTTTGAAAAGGCGTAATTAAGACCTTTCCTGCTCGAATATCCCACCATGAATAACCCTCCTTTGACCATCAAAACACCTATTACGTCTTAACCTCTTCACCATACACGAAACCGATGTCAAGGCCGTCGAATAACTTCTTCTTAAGAAACCGACGGTCGACGAACCTTGGCTAACTTGACTCTTTGACTTCAATGTCTCACCCAAACACAAGGGCGCAGACGTCAAAAGGAATGTAACTACGGCGTACCTCGACGTAGTTACACTTTTTAGGGGTTTTCACTGATGGCAATGTATCTCAATTTATATTGTATCTCTATCAATCTTTCACTACTGACAACACTCGAGGATTGCTGAAGAACTTCAGCAATCTTCTCAGCTAATATTATCCACTCCTCCTAGATGTTCATCCAACTCTCTTGCGCTTAGACGTACTTCCACGCACTTCATCCAACTTCCCCGGTCCCCGGTCCCCGGCCATCCCCTCCTCTCCCTTTGTGTTACGGGGTAACAACAAATCGAGAGGACTCTATCGAGTTCAATGGATTAGGACAGAGGAAAGCGGGAGTTGGAGGCAGTGCTGCAGTAGGCAGGGACGGGTTTTCCCCTTTTCGAGATTTCCCCACTGGGTTTGCTCAAAAGTGGTTTTTCACCTGTCCGAGTATGTACGTAGACGCTTGCAGCAGGAAGAGGACGAGGACAAGGATATCTGTAGACAGTATATAGTACAATCAGCAAAGTACCAACTTTGCTGATTCTTCAATATTGTCACGCCCGTCGAACAACTGCTTCCTAATAGACCGACGGTCGACGAACCTCGGCTGACTTGATCCTTCTAAATCGATGTCTCACCCAACCGGGAGGGCGCAGGTGTCGAAAGGGGTGTAACTACGGCGTACTTCGGCGTAGTTACTCTAACTGAGGTTTGGTTTTACTGATGGCGATGTATCTCGATTTGTAAATAGCTTTCTCTATCTATCTTTCACTACTGACAACAATCAAGGATCGCTGAAGAACTTCAGCGATCTTCTCAGCTAATATTGTTTATTCCTCCTAGACGTTCATCCAACCCTCTCGCGCTTTGACGTACTTCGACGCACTTCGTCCAACTTCCCCGAGCCCCCGGCTATCCTCTTCCTCCTCCGACTAACTCCGCCTAACGTCGCCGTAGTTCTGCTCCCATTGTCCCTACTTAGCCTAACTCCGTCTAACTTCGCCGTACTTCTGCTCCCATTGTCCCTACCTAGCCTAACTCCGTCTAACTTCACCGTACTTGGTCTCAGATGTCCTGAGTTACGTGTAGAGTAAAGAGGTTAAGGCGTGATGGGGGTTTTGATGGTCAAAGGAGGGTCATTGTTGGTGGAATAATGGAGGTGTCACGACGTAGTTCGTGACACCTAACTCCGTCTAACTTCGCCATACCTCGGTTCCCATTGTCCCTACTTAGCCTAACTCCGTCTTAATTCGCCGTACTCTTGTCCCCTTATGCTCCAGACCCCTGCATACCTTATTCACCTGTTGTACTTTGCCGTAGTTGGTCTCAGATGTCCTTGGTCATGTGTAAGGTGAAGAGGTTAATGTCACGAACTACGTTGTGACACCTCGATTAGTCCACCAACAATGACCCTCCTTTGACCATCAAAACCCCCATCACGCCTTAACCTCTTTACTCTACACGTAACTCAGGACATCTGAGACCAAGTACGGCGAAGTTAGACGGAGTTAGGCTAGGTAGGGACAATGGGAGCAGAAGTACAGCGAAGTTAGACGGAGTTAGGCTAAGCAGGGACAATGGGAGCAGAAGTATGGCGATGTTAGACGGAGTTAGTCGAAGGAGGAAGAGGATGGCCAGGGACTCGGGGAAGTTGGACGAAGTGCGTTGAAGTACGTCCAAGCGCGAGAGGGTTGGGTGAACGTCTAGGAGGGATAAACAATATTAGCTGAGAAGATCGCTGAAGTTCTTCAGCGATCCTTGATTGTTGTCAGTAGTGAAAGACAGATAGAGATAGCTATTTACAAATCGAGATACATCGTCAGTAGAACAAAACCCCACTTAGAGTAACTACGCCGAGGTACGCCGTAGTTACACTCCTTTCGATGTCTGCGCCCTCCCGGTTGGGTGAGACATTGATTTAGAAGGACCAAGTTAGCCGAGGTTCGTCGACCGTCGGTCTGTTAGGAAGTAGTTGTTCGACGGGCGTGACAATATTGAAGAATCAGCAAAGTTGGTACTTTGCTGATTGTACTATATACTGTCTACAGATATCCTTGTCCTCGTCCTCTTCCTGCTGCAAGCGTCTACGTACATACTCGGACAGGTGAAAAACCACTTTTGAGCAAACCCAGTGGGGAAATCTCGAAAAGGGGAAAACCCGTCCCTGCCTACTGCAGCACTGCCTCCAACTCCCGCTTTCCTCTGTCCTAATCCATTGAACTCGATAGAGTCCTCTCGATTCGTTGTTACCCCGTAACATGGTGGTTCTCAGGGGATGTTACCATATGGTTTGTGACATTTGCACTGAGACTAATTAATTCAACTGGGAATCAAAGGGTTCCCAAGAATGTATGGTCAAAAAGGGCCAGAGAGCTAAGCAAGCAGCCACTCTATAGTGAAGTTCCTCATTTAAATGAGTGGAATCCTTTGTTGTGAGTGCATATAAAGTGCTTGTGGTCAGTTGGAACACCTGCATAGCCTTAAGTCTGCTGATTTGTCCAGCTTGGTTTGTTCCTGCATACCCCAAAGACTGACTTGGCACCCCCTGCCTCCCTTTCATGCTTTGTGACTGGAGTGGCCCTTGCTCTATTGTATTCCAAAGATTAGCCAGCCTCTTTGTACGTTCTGTGACCCCTGCACCTTTAATAGGCCACTCTTGCCATGCACATATCCGGATAAGTGTCTCTGCATTGTCATTCTTTACATGATCTGGGGGGTATACTACTAATCAGCATGTCAGGTCATCAGACTGTGAAATGGAAGTTGCTAACTGTGATGTAGGAGCTGTGCCATCCCAGTGTTTAATAAAGTCTCCACTTGTTGTTTGGGTAGCCCCAATCTCTCAAAGTCATCAGGAAACATTTCAAGCCACTTCTCAATGAGTTTGATGCCTGTCATAGCGTCTTGGTGCATCTCTTCAGGAGTCTCTGAGCGGTTGTATTTGTGAAATGGCCTACAGTCAGGATGAAGGACACAAGCTTCTATATTTGCAGCAATGAGGCCCATAGTCAGTAGGGATTTATTGTTGAAGAGGCTCTGAATCCAGTCTGGAAGAGTGGGTAACAGTACAGAAAGCTTGTCAGCATCCTGGGGGCCTTGTCCAAAAAGTGCAGACATGTATGGTTGCTGTGAGTCCGGTAAACTGTCTGTAAAACCACTAGGTAGGCCTTCCCCTCCAAGACTTGGCATACCAAAAGTGGTGCTCCTCAACGAAACATCTCGGTGAGCTGAAGACGTGGAGAAGATTGGGCCAACAGACCTTAAAGCCTCCGGGGACGTGGCTGAGGCTGATGCAAAGGGAACTACAAATGGAGGATACAATGGTGGTTGTATGGAGTGAGCAGGGAGGGAGTGAGCTTGGTTTCCTCTCAGGGAGCTCTGATGTCTGGAGGGATCCACCCTGGAAGAACTGGCCACAGGGCGTCTATGGACAGGCCTTGAGAGGAGGGGTTGGGAAACTGAAGACCCACTTGCTGTAGTCACTGTTGCCGCGTTTGTACGAGCCTTCCGGGCTGCCCGGGTAAGGGTGACCCGAGGAAATTCAGTGCACTGCTGTGACAAGGCTGTCAGGGTTGAATCCAGAGACATCTCCTGGTCCATGATTAGTGTCTCAAACAATGACATATGTCTCTGATAAAAGTGCTGCGCGCCTTCTGCAGGTCTGCTTTCTTGCGGAATGAAACTTGCTGCACATCTTGCTAGATGTTTGCGTTTCCGGGCGAGCTCCGATTTGGACAGGACTGTATCGAGCTGAAAGATGGTTGAGCGAAGCAGTAGCTCGATGCTGCAACGTAAGTCATTGTCTCCCAAGGTGTCTGGGAGTAATTAGCCCCGCTCTCAATGGTACCGATGGGCACTTTGGAACTCACCTCCCCCTTCGATCTGTTGTTTCCAGAGGCTGACATACCGTGACATCTCTTCACCTGAGACACCCAGACTGAAAGGATTATACTCAGAAGCAAACCAGACTTTGTACATCTCACATGACTCTAAAGCCTCCCTCTGCCTCTCTTGTGCATCCGCAGATGGCTGATAAGTTCTCGCATGGCTTCCTCCAAGTGAAATACTGACTGGAGCACAGACACTCTCTCGCAGTTGGGACAAAGTGGATGGCGCCGACTCTCCTGAGAGATTCATGACCGGCCAGGGGCTTGGATTTGGCGTATGGATAACATCGATAAGCTGGTCAAGTCAAAGTACAATGATGTGTATGATCTGTGTAATATGTATAATATGTATAATATGTATAATGTGTATAATATGTATAATACGTATAATATGTATAATATGTATAATATGTATAATATGTATAATATGTATAATATGTGGGGCTTGCGTTGGGGTTGACTGAACGTAGTGATGGGGAGGACGGCTTCAGGGTGGCAAAATGCACCTATCACACACTTATATTTGTGTCGTTTCAAACCCCGCCAAAGGGGAAGGCGCGGCCGGAGCGTAAGAGGGGATCCTCGTAGTAGTCAGAGGTAAAGGAGAGGAGCCACAACCACCTCCTCGGATCATCCGTCGGGTAGGTGAGGGGAACGAGGCATTGGAAGAAGAAATAAGCTACAATTATCCATCACCAAATTGAAACATCCTTGTGTCACGCCTTCTGCAGGTCTGCTTTCTTGCGGAATGAAACTTGCTGCACATCTTGTACCAAGCTGCTATTGGAAGTCTGATGTGGACATCGGCATGTACTCGGCCAGACATCAGCTTTGCGACAAACTTTCTAGCACGGTTTAGTGCTGCTCCCCTGGAAACTCATTGGCAACTTGCTCTACGAATAGTTGCTTATCTTCTCAAGACAAGAGAGTACGGTTTAGTTCTTGGTGGAGAAGTGGGGAAAGATTTAGAAGGTTGGGTGGACGCTGACTTTGCGGGATGTAAAGTGACACGGCGATCTACCACGGGATATATCTTCAAGCTCTGTGATTCAGTGATTAGTTGGATGTCAAAGCGACAAGGTTCAGTCACGACTTCAACATTAGAAGCAGAGTATGTGGCAATGGCAGAAGCAGCGAAGGAAGCGAGATGGTTATCTGGGCTTGTGAAGGAATTGGTCAATTTGAAGGGAATAGTGACATTGAATTGCGACAATAAGGGAGCTTTAGCGCTTGCTAATAACCCAGGTGTTCATACTCGGACAAAACACATCGAGTATCGGCATCATTTCATACGAGAACAAGTGTCAAACGGTCAGATTCAACTCGTCTATGTCCCAACCAATGATCAACAAGCAGATATTTTCACCAAAGCTTTGCCGGGTAAACGTCATTTGAAGAATATGGAGGATTTAAAGATAGAGGATCAAAGAGAAGGAACGACAGGTAGTAAAGGGAGTTTGAAGGTTAGGACAGCGGGGAAGCCGTCTTAGGTAGTGAGCAGAGACTCGGTGATGACGGCAGAGGGAGTGTTGATCGTACCGCCACCACGAGTCGTATGTAGAACCCCGAGAAACTCCGTCGCGAGATCCACCTCCCGGATATCTCTCTCTTTGATGCATCCTCTCTCGTCTCACCAACCAACAGATCCTCCCCTCACTGTCCACTACTCATTCATACACTACTCTACATAACCTTACTTTGGGTACATATGATACCTCGCCAATGAGGTAGAATGACCCCATTGTCTTTGGTATTCATCTGACATCTCATGGGCTCACAGGGTGTACTCACCTGCCTTCTACCCCTTCTCCCTTGCTTCCCACATTCGTCTCTCTTCCATCCTTTCCCCTTCAAACCTACAAATCCGACTCCTGCACAAGACGATATCATTACTCTCTAAATGGTAGATGAACGTGTCCACGAGCAAATATCCCCACATGGCTCATTTACTCCCCTCACCCCAACTCGCAGGTTCCGACCGGGCTACTACTCAACCATCCAACCCGTCTCGTCTCTCGCCTTCACTCAGCCCGTCAGAAGATAGGTCTTCATCTTTTCATTCCACAACTGAAATGGCCACTTCACCTCGGATGCCAGGTAGTGGACTGTCTTCTCCCCGATTGGGCCGCAGTCACATACCTACACACCCGATTAATACCGCTGTCTCGACGTCCTCGGCTGTTCGCACACCTTCTCCTTCCCCCCTGCCATCACCAGTGTCCCCCACGGCTTCTGGAGAAGGTTTATCCAAACGACTCAGTTGGAATCGACATCAATCCGGACAAGCAGGCGGGCTAGCGGTAGCTACTCAACAAAACATCTCCCCTCGACTTCCTTCCATCGGAGATGAACCCGCCAAACAAGCTGTCTGGTCTCCAAGCGACGAGGAGACTACCCAAGTTCTTCGATCTCCTTACCTTGAGGGTAGGTCAGGGATGGGAACAACCTCTTCACTTAATCCTTACCATGAAGAGAGAATGAGGCTTTCATCCCGATTGAAGGACAATCTTTCCCCAACTCACATCAACGGTCATCATTCCTACAGCTTTGACGCATCTCACTCTCCAGGGCATGATGACTATATTGAGGAATGGGATCTCAGCGCTGGTCTACATTCAATCCCTACCGTTCCTCCTCCCCATCGACCACTCCATTCTGCACCTCCTACCGCTCCAGCATCATATGCACCAGATGATCCCTTATCGCCTTGGACAACCAACCCGTACAGACACAAAAGCCTTGGGGACTTACCGTATTCTGCACAGATGTCCTCGGACTCGATGACCTCCCTCGAGGGATCAAATGCGCCTATAGATGATATGGAACTTCTTACTGCACCTGATTCTTCGGCGATCTCGGCGAAACACCGTCGTCAACCTTCGAAACGGGTCTATGATAATCACGGACTTGCACGTCCCTCCGCTCCTAGACGTTTGGCCAGTGTGATGCGAAACGGAACTATCCGATCGATGACGAGGACAATACGACAAGCGAGTGTGAGGGTGGTAAATATCGTAGGGCATGACGAGCCTGGGATGGTGCGTCTACAGGATGAGAACGTGTGGGACGGTGATGGACCAGCTTCAGGAAGCAAGGAAGGGCTGGAAACGGAAGGAGAGGAAATGTACGAGATGAGGAGGGAAGAAATGGGAATGGATATTCCTGCCCCGAGACCTGGACCATTACCTCCAGAGCCAGGACTGAGAGGAAGGACTTTAGGACTCTTTGGGGTGAAGAGTCGTATCAGAAGGAGCATGGCTGGGGTCCTTGGTTGGTCGTGAGTCTTTCTTTTGCCAATCTCCTCCCCCAACACCTCGCCCTTCGTCTCACTGTGTATCACACCCGATCTCAAAAAACCACCCAGATCCGCAACGATTTTCCTTTCACGAGATGGTGAAGCTCACGATTAGATGGACAGAACCTGTCATTCTCCTTCTCATCATAGCCAATGTTGTCGTTCTCGCTATTCAAGGCTCCACGCCCCTCACTTCCCCTCGTCTTGATCCCGGTTACTTTACATCATGGGAAGACTACGTCCTCTTCGCACTCTTTATTGTCTTCACACTGGAGATGTTCGCTCGTATGGTCGTCACTGGTTTGATCCTCGACCCTGACACCTCAATACGAGAGTACCTTTTCGCCCCTACCGGTCTTATCCCATCCATAGAAAAACATCTCAACATATCTCATACATCTTCCAAAACTATCTTAAACCGTCCAACCCCCATTGCTAAACCTCATTGGGCAGCCAGACGTACATCTACAGTCGACCTCCCTTCTGCCTCGCACAAAAAGACGACTCTCCCTGCTACGATCAGTGAACTGCCTTTCCAACGCGCGGTTGCTAGGCAACAAGCACTAGCTGCTTATGGAAGACCTTACCTCCGTCATTCGTGGCATCGAATTGATCTCGTGGCTGTGGTAGCTTTCTGGCTAATGTTCATCCTCGCCGTCATTGGACAAGAAGCCACTTCTACATACCATGTATATCTCTTTCGGGCGCTTTCTGTTCTACGAGCAGCGAGATTATTGGTCGTCACCAGTGGGACAAGCACAATCCTTCATTCACTCAAACGTGCAGGTCCACTGCTTGTCACTGTGGCATATTTTGTGGTGTTTGCTGGGGTATTATTTTCTATCATTGGGGTACAGAGCTTCAGGGGAAGCTTTAGAAGACAATGCGTGTTGACCAATCCATTCAATGGGAGCGATACAGTCCAGACTGGTCAGGCGTGCGGTGGTTGGTTGAATGTTAGTGGAGAGGTGGTATCGTATCTCAATCTAGATGGAAGTGTGGCAGACCAGGGATCTAAGGGGTATATATGTCCAATGAACGAAGTTTGTCAGGTGGGTCATTGCTTTTACTTCCAGTCTCTCTTTATTCCTGAACAGCTCTTCGACTCAACTGATATCCACCATGCCCTTTCATCACCGCCCACATATTCCAGTTGGAGCCTGACGAAGATCTTTTCACCATAATCTGACTGCGATTCGACCTGCGAACTCCGTCTATATACTCGTCGCCAGTCTTCACCGAATCAGACGAGGCACCGTGCTGATAACTCAGACTCTGTCCACCAACCCCAATGGTAACGCGCAATCGTTCGACAACATCTTCGCCGCTCTTGTTCAAGTCATAGTCATCTCATCCGTCAACACCTGGGCCCAAACAATGTACATGGCAATGGATTCGGATTATTATTCGTCGAGTCTTTACTTCCTTTCAGCGGTAATCGTGCTCAATTTCTGGTTGATCAATCTAGTAGTGGCGGTGGTGGTGAACACGTTCAAGGATATACGGGCCGCTACGAAACGGAGCGCTTTCGGGGCTGATCAGTGAGTGGTCCAGACTGAGTTCTCCCTTTCTTGTATGGCTCACCGCGCCGAGTGACATCTCCGGTAGATAAGATCAGAGACTAAAGGGTGTATGTTCGGAATCGACGACTCATTTGCTGACTCGGTCAGAAGCATGTTGGGAATAGATAACCCCTGGGCGAACGAAAACAAGAGTATGAAGAAATCAGCCCTTCTGCGACTGTATGAAAGAACCGAGATTACTTGGGTTCTGTTGGTCGTCGTGGACCTGGTCGCCCAGGCCTGTAGGACAGCGTCTTCTTCTCCTGATACGCTGACACTGCTCAGTGAGTTCCTGCTCGTCTTTCCAGCCTCTTTTGGACTGTTGATTCCTTCTTACGCGGTGCCTCACCACGACTTGTCCCCACCTTCTCCTCCCACTCTTAATCGCCTGCGTTTTGATGAGCCGAACGGACCTTCATCACTTGGATACCGCCCATGGTTTGTATTCGTGAGTACACGAGGCCATACGTTGCATTGCGCAAGTCAATGACGCCGAGTAGGATCGGTTTGTGTGCAACGTGGCAGGCTAAGCTGATCACTCAAGAGAACTTGGAGCTTGTCTTCACACTCGTCTTCGACCTCGAAATCCTCATCCGAGCTGCTGGCCATATCCCCGAATGGAAAGCCTTTCTCGCATCCCCACGAAACAGCTTCGATCTCTTCCTCGCATTGACATGTTCTATCATCCAGATTCCTGCTGTGGTCCATGCGGGCGTATACCCATGGTTGACCGTGTTCCAGCTTCTGAGGTGGTACAGAGTCATTCTAGCTTTTCCGCGTATGAAACCCCTTTTAGTGAGTACATCCTTGAGCCTTTCACCTCATTTACAGACTTATATCGTGGTGTGCCGTTGCTCATCTGCAGATCACCGTGTTTGGTAGTTTCGCAGGCATGTTGAACCTTATTGTCTTCCTAATTCTCATCAATTTCATAGGTGCTCTCGTTGTGAGTTGGTCATCGTTTCCAGACGACGGAAACTCATCATCAGGCTATTCAGTTGCTTCGGGGTGATTTGACGTCGGATCAGACTATCACATTTTCTCAGACGTACAACTCTTTTCTGGGCATGTATCAGATTTTTTCTTCGGAAAATTGGACAACAGTACTCTACGGAGCAGTAGGTCAATCCACGCCCAAGCGAAAACTCACTGATGACCAGATGTCTGCGGAATATCAATGGGCTCAAGGATGGCTTGCTGCTATCTTCCTCTGCGGATGGTTCTTATTTGCTTACTGTCAGTAATTGTGCATTACGCTCTCTGTCAAGCTGATGATTGTAGTCATCGTCTTGCAGATGTTTATCGCTGTGATCAACGAGGTAGGTCATCCATCCCATGTAACAGTGTGAGGAGTTCTGATCTTGAGAACTTTGCCGTCGCCGAAGAGCAAAAGAGAAAACAGCAGATTGAAGCGTTCATTCGAAAGAGCGAGCCTGTGTCGGTGCATGTCAGTTGGATCGATCGTCTGAACCCGTATCGGTTGATTAAAGCACACCATCGTGCCGTTAAGGTCAACGCTCTGCCTGCCAATCTGGTTCTGCCGCTCAAGCAAAGTGTTGGGGCGGAGGTGGGAGGCATCTCCAACAAAGTGAGTTAAAAGCCGTGACCGTCAATGTAGCTAAAAGTGTCAGATGAAAGCGGAAATGGAAAAGGAGGATTCTAACGCTCCCATGCGTAGACTCTTTGGCTTTGAGAGGGACGAGAAACTACCTCGTCGTCGTTCTCGACTCCTGTCGACTCGAATGGACGATATGGGTCATATGGAAGACGATGATCGAGGCTTGTAAGGTCATCCCACATCCCATGCCACTCTGCTGATTTGCTTAGAACTGATCTTCTGCCACCTCTCACAACAGGACCATCCGCCGATGAACATCTTGACACCCTTCGTGAACGACGAAATAAACAAGCAGACTTTATCGCTGCTCATCCGTCGTTTGACCAATCACTCTGGTTGTTCAAGCAGAGAAATCCTATTCGACGATTTTGTCAATCATGTGTCTCGCCTGCTTACGGCGAACGTATCTTCGGACGACCTCCTAATCCAATCCTTCGTTTATCGGTAAAGATAGCTGTATTCGTTGCCGTCGTCGCTAGTATCGTCGTTGCAGCTATCGCCACACCCATGTATCGCAAGAACTTTTACGCACGTCATGGTATTTATCGCGGAACATGGTTCGATCTCACCGAAGTCGCTTTGGGTTCAGTGTTCATATTTGAAGCAGCTATCAAGATTATCGCCGATGGCTTCATTTTCGCTCCAAACGCATATTTGTTATCTTTATGGAATGTCCTGGATTTCATCGTGTTGATCACTTTGGTGGTAAATACGACGACTTCGCTCATCTTCATCGGTGGGTTGAGCAGGGTTACAAGGGCTCTAAAAAGTTTCCGCGCGTTGAGGTTGATCACGCTGTTTGGGAGATTGCGAGATACTTTGCACGCTGTTTTGTTCGCTGGTGCGTTGAAGATTTTGGATGCTTCGATACTTATGATCTTGTACATTATTCCGTTTGCAGTATGGGGGTGAGTTTTAAGTGTTCCTCTTTCTCGTCTTCGCCTCCACCTTTTTGGGATTCAGCCACCTGATGCGTTTTATCGCGTGTAGACATCTGCTCATCTCGAGTGGTGGTCGGTAGGACGATGAATTTGCGAGAAGCGAGAACTAAAATACAGAGTCAACATCTTCGCCGGAAAATTATACTCATGCAACGACGGCAATGCCTCAGGAATATCAAATTGTATCAACGAATACCTTTCTACCCCGATTGATGATTCTCTCGCCTTTCTCGCTCCCCGTGTATGGGAGAATCCAGCTGGTCTGGGACAAACAGTGTGGAACTTTGACACTTTCCGCTCGTCAATTCTGATCCTCTTCGAAATTGTCTCACTCGAAGGGTGGATAGATGTCATGACGTCAAGTATGAACATCGCCGGGAGGGATCTTCAGCCGGTGTCAAATGCCTCACAGTGGAATGCTATCTTTTTCGTGATTTTCAATCTGCTCGGTGCCGCCGTCATCTTGGCACTCTTTGTAAGGTCAGTGTTTTGACCCGTCTCCCCTTCAAGGATTTCATCACTGTATCTCCTATCTTCTTAAACCCTAGTCTTCGCAGGATATAGAGTTTACATAGTTGTCATTGATGTCAATGACATGTCACCATACTCATCTTAAGTATGGAAGATAGATGCGTTGACTGACCGAACAGTATCATCATCGGCAACTTTTCCTTGCGATCCGGCTCCGCTCTCCTCACGGCAGAGCAGAATCATTGGCAGGATCTGGCCAAGTTCATCAAAGCTCAAACTCCCAGTCAACTGCCAAAACTCCGACCGCAGACGGCACTACGAGAATGGTGTTACGAGCGGGCCACAAACAAACACGGATACTGGACCAGGGCGTTCACCGGATTATATTATATTCATATTTTTCTTCTAATGTAAGCAAAACAATCAAACTTACCACAGCTGACATACAGGACGGAGGATTTCTCAAATAATATCCTCAACGATGTAGCCTTAGGTGAGGAATAAACTTGATTTCATTTTGTGAATATCGAACTGAGCCTTTGTATAGACTGGGTGTTCCTCTTATTTTCTCTCATCTACGCTATCGACATTCTGGTCCGGTTTTATGGTCTCGGTTTCAAGTCGTTTCGCGCAAACGGATGGAACCTCTTTGACGTCATCGTTGTCACTGGTTCTTTCGCAACTACCATTCCAGCGCTTCGAGCTGCTTCCAGAGGGCTTCCCGGAGATCAAGTCAATATACAACTACAAAAGCTTTTTTTAGTATCTATCGCCCTCAAATTAGTGCAGCGTATCTCATCACTTAATCAACTTTTTAAAACTTCAGTGGCATCATTACCTGCTATCGGTAATTTGTTCCTTCTTTGGGCAACTTTATTCATCTTCTTTTCTATCTTATACTTGGAGGTGTTTGGTCTTACCAAACAAGGTGATAATTCGGGGTCTAGATTCCAGAATTATTACTCTTTCGGCAATACTCTGATAATGTTGGCTTTCATGTCCACTGGGGAAGGATGGAATGGGTATATGCACGACTAGTGAGTCTTCCTTCTTGTCAATGCTTGACCTAGTAATCTCCCTTCAACACGTATGAACGATGTCCACTCTCTGTTAAACTCCACTTGCACAACTGACCATACATCATATCCGTTGAGCACTGCTGTTGGCCCTTTACGGATTGTGCTTGATGCACTCGGGGTGTGGTGAAAAAGGCCGAATGACTGACCATACAGCACAATCACTTTCCCCAGATGTACGGAAAATAAAGATTTCTTCTTGACAGATTGTGGAAGTCCTTCGTGGGCATTTGGATTGTTCATAAGTTGGAACATTCTCAGCATGTGAGCTATCCAGGACCTTCTAACCATATAGCTCACCATCAGGTATATATTCGTCAACATGTTTACCGGTGTTGTTGTCGAATCCTTTGCGTATGTTTATCAGATGCCAGGAGGGGCGTCACTGAATCGAGAAGAGATGCGTGAGTCGTCTGTACCATGAGCCCATACCCCCATCATCTGTGAAGTGGGAGTTGATCGACAGGCGCTTTTAAGAAAGTCTGGGCGGAGTTCGACGTGGAACGTACGGGGTATATACGTAAGAAAGACTTCATCAAGTTCTTCTCTGTAAGCTCTGACTCCTTCTCCGACCCATACATTATTCATTCATGGGGATAGAGCTAAACCTATAGCAATTATCAGGAGTATTCGAAGTCCGTCCGTACCCACCTGAATACTCAGTGCACAATATCATCCGATCTTCCATTCCTGACCCAGTTGCCAACGCCTCCGGTCGTGTGCTCGTTGCTAAAGGCGTTGAATATGCTGTGGATGTTAGGAAGGTTGAAACTCTGGTCGAGAGGATTGACTTTAATCGGGTCCGAGATCGTAGGAGGGTTTTTAATAGACTTTATCATGAAGCTAGGATCTCGGAAGAACCAGGAAGAGGGATAAGCTTTACCCATATGTTGATGATGCTTTCACATTATAAGTTGATCGATGATGAGAAAGCTCTTTTGTGAGTGGTTTTCTTACAACCTTCACTCTTCTCGCACACACTCGTCATCATCCATTCACATCTAACACTACATTGTCGACTTTGGCGACTCTTTCACATGCATCATCACCACTACCACCATGTCCAAAATTAGTACTGCCATCACCATCACCAGTCACTTACGTCTCCTCTGAACTGGTGCAACATCCCACAGTGAGGACACTCAGATCTGAAAGTGGGTCTCGAAACATGGACGAAACGCTAATATCAGACTGGACGATCTCCTCATTAGACGAGCGAAGACGGACAGAGTGACAGATTTGGTCAACCTGGAAAGAGTAAGAGGTCTACTCAGAACTATATGGTGTAGAAAACGATTTCTGGTCGCGAGGGAAGAGAATCGTCGGGCTCTCAATGGAGAAGCCATGGGTGGGTTTCGTAAACCTCTATCTTTCACAGTTTCCCTTGCCGCTCCCCACTCCTCACATTACGCTCAAATCCCAACGTATCTTGCTTCGTGGGCCTATCTCCTGTTTCTCAAAAACCATCACATGCTAAAATATTCCTAGGTATCCCAGCTATCGTCCTCGAACCCACTCCGAATACTCCCGAAGAAGAGAATGAAAATCCCTTTGATACAAGTATCCGAGAAACATTATCATCTCCTTCTCCGGTCGATTCTCGAGCTACCTCTCCGGCAGCCTCACCGGCTTTACGCCCCAGTCCAACATTGCACACGCCCGGATCGACGCATAGTCGTTATCCCTCCTTCTCCCAGAACAGCATGAGAACACCATTGTCTCGTCAACCATCGGACGCGAGTATGCTTTCGTCTGAGGACGCTCATCGGAGAGCTGAATCAGTGGACGAACCGCACACGGAAGGATACATGGAGTCCATGGCGACGTCGGTTTGGGGTGGTGAGTTCAATTTCCATCTCACTTACACTGCTACTGGCCGCCAGACCCTTTTCAAACTTCACACATTTCCGAAGTGGGATGACCGGAATACTTGGAGAAGGGATCGATCGAGTGGTGCAAGTAGCTGACAGGATAGATATGATGAGACACGCAGTGGATGAGGAAACATGAATGGTAACATTTGCTTGAAGACAGCATGATCACATCTACAGATTTCTATATAGATTACAACATGTTATGACTATAACGACTCAGCATGGAAGCATGGGAATGGAAACAATGTAATGGTGGATATGTCATGATATAGATGCGATGGATGTCATTCGTCTTGATTTTGTCGTTGCTCATTCATCGTTTGTGATACTCCCCGTCCAAACTTCCTTGTTCACCGACTAATTCAACTCTTGGCCTGCTCACCTTCCTCGTCCACCTGCGATTCGTCCGACCCGATCTTGGTCCATCTATCCGGTACGGCAGGAAAGTAATTCTTTTCCATCGCTCCTCTGAACCGCAGTTTATCTGTCATCAGCTTAGTTCCGACAAGATATCGTGGGTGAGAGTGCAACTCACATTGTTTGGGAGTGACAATGGTCGGTTCTCCTTTACCTGCTCCGCCAAGAAAAGCAGAATCTTTAACCCATGATTCGAGCTTTTTGTCCCTAATCATGAGCGTCGTATCTTGCATACTGAACATTTTTTTCATACTAGGGCTTGACGCCACACGGTAAGGAGTAGAGGAGTGGCGTAGATGGAGAAGCCATTCGACCAACTGAACGAAGGAGAGTATGAGGGGGTGTCAGTACAAGTTGGTATGGGGAGTGCAGGTTGGATGTGGGAGTGGAGAAGAACTGTACATACCAAGTGAAAGTTCGGATATAATCAACAATCCCAACTACCAATTCTTTCTTATCCGGGTCGACCCCGACTACCAGGGAATAATCCATAACGTTGAGATTGGATAAGAAAAGTGCTATTTATCAGCCTTCACTTGCTATATCATATTAGTACCAGTACGAGTACTCACTGTCATTATATAGTGCCAGTCTCAAAACGCGTTTCGAATGATCACGTAAATACAGAGGATGTTTATATGCGACTGATTGTCAATTTGCGCAAGTTTCTCCATCTCGTCTGATCAACTCACTTTCTAACAGATTCTCATCTAATCTTAAAATGATCAGTTATTGACAAAGTCTGACAAGAGACAAACTCACAAAACTTCGTTTACTCTTCCGGTAGGCTGTATCAATCGATTCCTTGTACTTCCTTTCAGATCGTAAATCCTAGAGAAACGTCTTTCATAAAACAGATTCTCCATGATGAGAACATTCATCCGCATAGTTCGACCAGTCACCGCATTTCTATACCCAATCTTGAAGAATCCATATATCTTTGCCAATACAGTTGGACGCTGTACGTCAGCTAGACCACCTGCGGAAGAACCTAGCTTACATCGCTTTGGAACGCCTTGCGAGTGTAATCGAAATACGCAGGAGCAAACTTTGTCAAAGCGTCCATTTCCAATCGAGAGATCTCTTTGGCGATGAATCTATCATCCTTGGTCTTCAAAAAGGCAGAGCCTGATTTCCCGCCAGCGGCATCAAATTGGACACATCGGGAGAGAGATTCGACAAAGTTTTCCTCGCATTGACAGACTGAACGTAAGGTGGCAAATTGTTCCGCGAAGAAGATGCGACAGAAAATGGTAGAAGTACCAGATTCGAAGTCTATATAGTCAGTCAACGTTCAGGAAGGGGGAGAGACTTCAATTCACCATATTTCAAATGCGTCCCTCCATCCCGACGGGATGTATCATCACGATCCATAGTCTCGCCAATGGAGACAATGTCCCATGTGGAACTACGATCCGTGGTCCCTTCCTCAGGCATGAAAGCTTCGACATTTTCGTCCAGTTTACGTTGAGCCATATAAACATTGGTCATTTTATCGCGGTAGTTCTTGGAACTGAGAGTGAAGGCAATGATACTTGTGGGCTCGCTTTCGCGGATGATGACCTTGGAATCGGCGAAAAGGTGTTCTGAAGCAGATCTGTTTCGTTAGTGCGGCATTCCCTCAGCCACTCTAACCCACAATGCAAATTCAACGTATGGACGAGGTAGCTGGTTTGCATGATATGGGTCACGATAAGCGGGGTAGATGATATACACGGGCACAAACGAGACAGTAGAGAGTGCTGAGCAAGAGAAGACATACAGAGGATAGTCCAAAGGTGTAAAATCTCCCGCTCTGAAAGCCCATAAACCCGTCAAAGTCTTCATGATAGACGATCTCTCTCCCCCTGAACTCAACTCGCTCTCCGACATGTGAGACACCAAAGAAGGAGCCGCCTTGCCCTCATCCGCAGTGTCCGTCATGGACAAGGAAGACATTTGGGGTGTGGGAGGAATACTAGGCAACGGGGCGTTTGTCTCAAAGCTTGGCAACTCGACGTGAAGTCGATCACTGAGCGAAACGACAGAAGCTACGTCGCTTGTCAAAGATGGGGTCACGTCCAAAGCCGCAGATATAGGGGACATCGGGACAGTCTTAACATGGGGCGACTTCAATGGTGGAGGTACGATACCGATCAGCTGCGTACCGTGGGAAGGTTCAGAGTTCGAGCGTGGCAATGGTGGTGCTAAAGGAGGTTTCTCTGGAGATTTGGAATTACCGCGTTCGCTAGGCGGTCGAGATTCTGGAGGCGGGGTCGGTTTCTCAGGTGAAGTGGACTTTCGGGGACGTCTGATCTTACCGTTCGAGTCTGCGCTATCATCACTTCCGGCATCTTGATCCTGCTCATTATCGCCTGCTTGAGAGGAATCCGTTTCATCATCCTCTCTGAACGCGTCACGTAAATTGTTGAACTCGAACACTTTGGCTCGGGTGGGTTCCACTGGACGAGCTCTTCTAGCTCGCATATGGGTGATGGCATTCCGTTTCGCTTCGTCGGCCCTACGAGCGATCTCGTTGTATCTTTCGATAGCACGTTGCACTGTGGAACTGCGAGGACCAGTGATAGTCTTCTTGGTGACTGTACGTCGCAGTGTAGGCATGGCAAGGTTCGCACTACCAGGCTCTGGTGTAGCTCTTCCTTTCCCCTTTTCAGCATTGCGTTCATTGGTGACTTTCTGAACTCGACGAGTCGACGAATGTCGAGTCAAACGTTCAGGAAGCGGGTTTGGAGAAGGTTCGGTAGACCGGCCAGAGTTATTACTTTGCATAGATGACTTCCGACTGTGAGTCATGTCCTTCGGTCGCAAGGTTGACGGTCCGCCGAGACCTCTCTTACCAAACGCGGATGGGGCTCGAGCGGCGTACGCAGCATAACTCCTCTCTCCATCAGATATGACACCCAGCTTGGAAGTATCACGATGTCGCGAGGATGGAGGTTGTTCAGTACGGTTCCGTCGTAATTTTGGACGCGCGGGACGTTGTTGGTCGCTGTCGGACGCGTCACGTTCCGGACCTCTTAGATGACGTCGTGAACGCTCTCGGGAAAGTGGGCGATCCGATAAGAGTTTTGGCGACGGTCGGTCAAGTAGCAGTCCAGGCGTCGGTCGAGCGGAATCCGGTAATGGCGATGCTTCACGAGAAGACCCTGGGGAGACTTGCATAGAGTCTTGAAACCTCTTGACCAGTTCTGCAATGCTGCATATTAGACTTCACGGAAATCGTGGAGTCAAGATCACTCACCTTGGTGCTTGTTGTGGACGAGGGATACGGGAGGCAAATTCTTTCCCGTCGCTTTCCATACTGCCCGAGACCATCTTATCCCTTTGCCGACGGCGACGGAAAGTGTCTTTCCCATCTTCACCGTGGTAGATTCTGACAGCAGAGATGGTCGAGTCGGAATCCCCATCTGACGGAGATCCGGATGGCGGTGCCAATGATGATAATGGGTTTTGACGGGGGCTGAGTACGCCAGCCAATGGTGTGACTTCCTCGGAAGGCGGACCGATCTCCAGCTCGGGTGGGTCCAGGAGAGCATCGGTACTATCACTGTCCATCGAAAATGCCGGAGTAGGCGGCTCTGTCGTGCTCAAGCTATCCTGTGAGGTTCGAGATTCTTTTTCATCCACTTCAGGTACAGTCAGTCCGACTACCGATTTTTCAAGCGTTCCAAAAACATCCGGGTTGGCGAAGAGCTTTTTGAGATGATTTGCCGTCACTAGGTTCATGAGTGTCCCGAGCCTGAGACATGATGAAGAGACTCACTGTACCTAAGATCCTTCTCAGACGGCATGAAGGATTTCTCCAGGTCGGTAAACTCCTGACTAACTCATCAGCCAGTCATATTACTTGTAGCAAGCCGACTTACTCCCAGTGAACCACCTTGTCTTGCAGTGCTCTCAACACAGCATTCAGCGCCAACACATCTGTGAGAGGAGTAAGCTTGTATGTTCTGTTGAGCAGATTGACCATTTCCTCTCTATCCGTCACAGCCTTGCTTAGTAGCGTCTGAAGTGATACTCTGAGAGCGGATTGTTTGGCCGGTTCAACGAGATTCTCGTCAAAAGCACGAAGACGAAAGAGAACGGAGTCGAAGAAAGAAGTATTCTTTTGTAAAGCACTCTCGTATTCTTGATTCTTCAACAAGACTTTGCTCTCTGGTTTGACCTGTAGTACGACGGACGGTTTGACGGGTTCGTAGAGATCGATCTTCTCGTTATGTATACGAATAGCGAGATTGTGGTAGGCGAAGTATCGAATATGATCACGAAAAGCGTCATGTGAGCAGGCAAAATCGGCAGGTACTTCCGGGGGACAGAAGCATTGTTCCAGATAACTTCCCCATGACATTCTCAAAGACTCCTCGTGGGTCACAACCACAGGCGAAGCTGTACTGCAGATGGGACAGTAATTCCAAACCAAGATTTGATCTTCGAAGCCCGGTATAGGACAATTGAACTCGTCGATAGCAATCTGTAAGCGGCGCTCGCCGTGGACAAGAAGATGATAATGATGTAATAACAGACGATTGCACGTCTTACTGCCGCATCGATGCCATGCATCCGAAGCCAGTCGTTCGAAGTATTGACCTAAAGTTTCGTCTCCCGGCTGGTAAAAGTTGATGGATTCGAGACGAGGTTCAACGCATGGTTTCTCCGCTCCTTCTGTTCCCATGGAGTGAAGGTAGACGATACTTTGATAGTCTTCTGGCCTCAGGGGATTGGTGTGACGTCGAGTATACCAGGCCCATGCTCGAAGTTGCTCTTGATGTTCGTGCTTGACTTGTTGCAGCGTACTCTCACGGTGTACTTCCTCTGGCTTGCGTAATACTCGATAGGGATCTCGGGTGCTCTCCCTCGTCGGAGCTGGCCCACTAGCAATCGCACTCATCGCCGTACTGCTTGGGACTTCTGCCAAGGACGGGAGACTCGTTTCAGATGATGGTACAGAAGTGGCCAGCTTGGGCTCGACGTCGGGGAGGGGAACGGCGAGTCTGCCCGTTTCAGTAGCTTTCGTCTCCTCTTCAAGTATCTGTGCTGCCTCCTCTTCATCGTGTGCTACTTTTAGACTAGAAAGGCGACGGTCGAGCAGAGCCATTCGAGCCAACGCATAGGGCGGAGGGAATCGAACGGCTGTCGAAGCCGAGAGGACGGTGGTCAGATACGGTTCGAGACTAGTCGCGATTTTCAAAGTCGTTTCCGCTCCTTCCTCTCCATCATGATGTCGCCCAATATCGTCGGTGACCGACAAGGTCCCAGTGGACTTTGATGGACTGATGGTTATCGCGCTATCTTCGAGATGCGAAAGCTGAGGTTTCCCACCCGATCGAAGTAGCTTCAGCACGGCCTCGTACTCGTCGGAAAGGGGAGGGCGAGGAGGAGGGATTGAATGCTGATCACCATACATGACAATTTCGCTCCGCAGATGATAAGCGACCATTGACATGAATTTAGCGATCAATTTGACTTTACGAAGGGTAGTAAGGTCCCCTCCACGGAGAATGAGTGTACAACCGTATTCTCTTTGACATCCCTCGAAGCGCATCAAGGTCTTGCGTCGACCGGGAATGAATCCGTTGTCGAAGGTTTGGACATTGAACTCGGAGCATCTTCCGAGTCGAGGTTCAAGTACCAGTCGATCCATGGAAGCAATAACGTCTGCTTGTGTACATCGAGCGACTTGTTGTATTGCAGACAGTTTCACGTTACGGGCTACAGCGATATTCGCTTCCAGTAGATGCTCGATAGCGATACTCGATACAGAACGATCGGCCAGGACGATGTGAGGTCGCACGTCGATGACGCGTTTAGTCAGAAGTCTCAGGTAGTCTTTCTCTTGAGCCATGATGGGCTCAAGTGACATGAATTGATTCTCCAGACGGTGGTAATCCAAAGGAAAGGTGACCACCATGACACGAGGGTTCACCAAACGACGAGGCATATGCTTGTGGGCAACATTCTTCGAGATGACCATCCCGTCCACATACTCGCAGTCGGCAATCCTCCCTCCGGGCACCTTCTTGACCTTGGCATAGTTTCGCACGTCCATAGAGTCCCCAGCACGGACATCGGGAAGAACATTGGTGGAAACACGAAGCAGAAGCTTGCTCAAAGCATCGTGCCATTGTGCGGCGTGTGACAGTTCCGCCCTTGCTAAAGCCTGTTGCAGCATGATGTGAAAATGTCGGATAGACGCACCGACAATGACATCGGCGTTGCCCCTGTCATAGTCAGCTTCGGTGGTGAGTCAGTTGTGTATACTCACGCAAAAGATCTAGTTCGGGCTCGCCAAAGTCCTTCAGTTCTGTCTGGCTCTACAAGTGCTGCTAATCCACCATGACTTTCCCTGGTACTAATCGTAGTTCTTAATCCTATAAGCCCACGCGAATCTCCAAGTGCGAGCTCGCCTCCGTCTGTAGACACGGTGTCCGTCCGCGGAAACGGTATGCCTCGCCGTAAAGGTTCATTGATGCGAGGAGGGATGGGTGATTGAACCTCAATATCTTGCCCTGGATCGTCACCAGGAGATGGCGTCTCTACATTTTGTGATTCTTCTCCGGTCTTTTCTTCCTCTGTCATGCTCGCTGCCTCAGCATCTTGGTCGATAGGTCGCCGGAAGGGCGCGGCAGTGTTGGGCCTCGTTGCCCATATATGATCGTCGTCGTCGTTCTCCGAGATTTGTGACCCGCCTATGTCCAAAGGAGTGAGTGGACGATCGGCCTGCATGTCGCCACCCCAACCGCTCGGTACCTCACCCTCGTCGATAGCCATGAGCGATTCGTTCGGTTGGCTTATGAAAAGCTGACTAGCGGCAAATGGTGAACGGACGTAATGACCCTCGTGTCCAGCTGGAACATCCAGAAAGGCCGCATCAGGTCCGCTTGGGAAGCGAAAAGACGTGGCGACGGAGGTGATAGAGCGACGATCATCGTCATCGTCATTTCTGACTTGATCCATGATTTTGATGCAGATGTTGCACACTCGGACAGCACCGTCCTGACCGAATCGGCTGGCGGTGATAATATTGGAAGCACATCGACTGCAGAATATCTGACCGCATATCCTGCAGTGATGTTTCCTCCGCCAAGCAGAGAATGTCTAACAAATCAATGTCAAAACATGGCAGGCTGGTGCAGAGGACTCACGGAATTACAGTCGTAGCATTCCTTACAGCTTTCATCTGACATCCAATACTGCTTGCTCAGGCCTTCTCCGCGTATTCTCCTGATGATTCGGCTGACATTGGTTCCATTCTTTGGCATCGCGAAACTCCGGACGCTGCGGGTATCATCTTGGATGGAGAATCCAGGTATGGAAGAGAGGTTGTTCTGGCTGAGCTCTGCGTTGTGCGCGATCATGGCTGAAAGTGAGACTGAAGAAGGAGAATCCGGAATGGTGACATTGGAAGATCGTCGTCTCCGGCCGGGTGGCTGAGGGTACGCCTGATAGATTAGGGGTTTGGAACGGGGTGAAGAAATACTCGATTGTCCAAATCGAGCTCTGGAGTGTGTTCGGGCGGCTTGAAGTGCCGCTGGAAAGTTCATGGTCGCACCGCTACGAGTCGAAGCCGAGTCACTGGCCATGATACCGGTCACTTCTGGTACGGCAGCTACACCAACTAGGGCTGATGCAGCTCCGAGAGGACGCCATCGTCCGCTATTTCGATTGACGAGCTTCTTCAATGATGCTTCTGCTTCGGAGTGGATGGAGAGTATAGAAGGTTGGATAGAGGGGATACTACTATCAGAGGTGACAGTACTCAAGGCGGGTCTGATAGGTCGATGGGTTGCATGTCGGGGCGACGTGGTAGCAAGTACGGGACTAGGAAAAGGGCGGGTAGAAGGTCCTGGCTCCTCGGCGAGAGCGGTGAGAGGTTGTATGCTGACAGTGGGAGCTGACCCTGACTTTCGACGAACATGTGTACCTTTCTTGACCGCTTCTGCCAAAGCCTGAGCTTCAGTCTGGACGATCACCCGAGGTGGTGAACGCTGCGTGTCCGAAGGTCCTTTCTCCTGTGGTTTGAGGGACTGAGGGGGTAGATCGCCGCTGGCAGAGGGAGTTGATACACTGGAGGTGAAAGTAGACTTGACTTTGGAGAGTATGGAAGGGATGATACCTTGCTCTGGTCCATTGTCGGCGTAAGCCTGAGGGAACAAGGTAAGACTGGCGGGAGGGGAAGGCCGGGAGGTGGTGAGGACGGTGGGAGAAGAAGCCACGACGGGGTCCATCGTTCGGGGAGGATCTGCCGAGCACCCTTCTATCTGTCGCTCACACCAAAACCGATACTCATGACAGATGGGACAGTAGGTGATAAGAGTGAGAAGGGTGAGAAGGGGGTGGTACTCTACTTAGAAAGAATCTTGCACTTTACCAGTAGAAATGGACACATAGCGAGGAGACGCGCCAGGGTGATGATGACCACGTGGCACCTGGCACCTGGCAGTGTGGCAGTTTGGCAATGTGGCGGAATAGCGACAAGCTCGGACATACAGTGTCAGCTGTAAACACTCGTGAACGATTTTCATCGGCACCTCTATCCGGCTGGTAGCAGTCCAACAATTCTGAAACAGGGCAATATCTGATCACAGGGTGTTGATCTGAGTAGAATCTGGCACTGCCGTTGCTACATCCCAACTTGATCGGGACCTCGAGTCCACCTGCGCCGCCCATCCACAGGGAGAGAAGATCCGTGACTGAATGTCCCTTCTTCCTGGGCCAGGCCCTCCCAGGCCAGAACGACCCAAAGTAGTAATCTTGTTAGCATACTACTCGTACGTGTAGTATCCTTTGTCTCCTTGATCCGAGTTCTAGACCCTTGAACGGTTGCGCCGGGAAAAAATCCCGTAGCTGGGACTTCTAGTGAAGCATATATTTCACACGGACCCCCAAGACCTCTCACTACTCTCCTACCTAATCCAGTATCACCACTTGCCACTCACATAAACTTCAACAAGAAGAGACGGAATAGTTCCTCCAATTCCTGTACCGTCTTATCACGCCCCGTCTCTCATTTTGAACACGTCGTCCTTGGGAGAGGATTTCTCAACCCCCAACCAGGACAAGTGTCACGAGACCAACTAACCAGCATTGGGACGATATAACAGTGCCCTTCAGAGGCAGCGGTCTAAACCACTGTGCTAAAAGGCCTATTAACCGGCGGTTACTGCATACCGCCGGTCGCTGGTTAAATACCCAACCCATCCTATCACTATCACTATCAAACTGTCTTGTCACTTCGTGACATTATGCCTTCCCTTTCAGCCCCATCTGGGGCCCCAACAGGGAAGGGTACGATAGGCCGAAAACTTTCTCCGAGAGGGAGGTTTTCCAAGTAGGGACTGAATTTGACCCAGCCCACCCTGGGAGTCGAACCCAGGATCCTACCCGTAACCGCCGGTTAATCTGTCACGAGACCAACTAACCAGCATTGGGACGATATAACAGTGCCCTTCAGAGGCAGCGGTCTAAACCACTGTGCTAAAAGGCCTATTAACCGGCGGTTACTGCATACCGCCGGTCGCTGGTTAAATACCCAACCCATCCTATCACTATCACTATCAAACTGTCTTGTCACTTCGTGACAACAAGATTACTCCACTACTGCTGGAGGGTGCCCCTGTTAGAGCAGGGATGAATAACGGCCATGACACTACTCTCACATGGTATCAAGACAATCAGACCTGGATACATACGGAATAAGATCTTCTCTTCAAAGTTCTTGCCGGATGTTCTCAACATACTCTAGCTCGTCTGAAGTATGTTTCCCCCAACAGTTTGGAAGAGATCAAAGGGCGGGCACAAGACACCACGAGGCTGATCACATTGTACGTGACTCAACTCTATGGTAAGTGGCTTCCGGACTTTGTCCCTACAGACTCTGCTCTCAAAACTACACTCATTGTCGAATGTATGAAGAGATGTTCAACCTTGCTGGAAGGTGATGGTGAGCCCTATTTCTTCTCAGTGCATGATTATCACTTGAATATTGGTGATAGAATCCAGAATCTATAAGCCGAACGGAACAAGTGATAGTACTTGAAACTCTCCTTCGTTTTGCCCATTTCACAGCCGCGCACCTGACTCAAACCAAGACAAATAATAGGCGAAGACATCTCAGCAAGGTGATGGAGCTAATGGGAATTAGCAAGATTTGTGACTCACCTAGTAGCTGGGCATTGACAAATGTGATCAGCCTCCTGATTGTGGTCTGGAAGAAGGAGCTCTTATCAGCTCCTGCTTTGACTTCCTTGGTTGGACAGTTTCCAGCAGACAGTACCCATTGCTCTTTTTGTGGTAACATGCAGCCTCAGGCCCTCAGTAGGAGGAATGTCCGTAAAGCAATGAATGAGGGTAAGCAGTGGCCTGACACTCCCCAAAGGGTTCCTTACAGTCAGTTTTATAAGGAGCATCCATATTTGCAATCTAGAACAATGGAAGTATCTCAGCGTACTTGTCTGGTCGCTCTTTCATCAAGCAATGATGGATTGGGCAGAGGAGCAGGAGCTATACTGGGTGATCCCCTCACTCCCTCCCAACAATCAGCTCCACAAGATAGCCAGGTAGCAGGACATCTTGGCCAGCAGATGTTACCCATTGCAGATGTCAAAGCATCAGTTGAGATACCAATCACTGCCCATGAAGACAACAGTGAAGAACACATGTTGGTCACCTTGCACACAGTGCCAAAAGGTCAGCAATGTCCAGCATCAGGTGGAGGTGAAAACATGGCACAGCTAGCCTCAGTCACGGGCATCACCAGTGACAGACCCCCTATCTCCGATCTGACAACACTGAGTACCTTGGACTATAAATGTATTCAGGATCAGTTGATTGTCTGTACAAAACCAAATCTCTCACAAGTTACCGGTGTGCCCAGGGTGCCCTCAACGTTCCTAGTAGAAGAAAATCTACCAAGCTCACCGAGTGCCAGGCTGCACGTAGGTCCAAGACACCAAGCAGTGTTCGGAGATTCTTTCTGGGATTGTGACTCCGGGAAAGAAAGTACTCAAGGCAGGAGAGATCTGCCAATAGCCGACGGCAAAAGTCACATCATTGTGTTGTCTGGTCCCGGTTTTGACCCTGAAGACTGGTCTGAGACTGAAGCCAGTGATTGGATCCCGAATTTGTAGGTAGGATAGGTAGAGACACAGTACTCTACCAGTCCTGAGGGAATTTCAGCCGGAATGGAGATTCATGTTCATCCAATGAAGCCATTGATATTGTATGATTCAGTTCTTCCATAGTCCTCTCAAATAGGATCACGACTCTTGAATTATACAGTATTTCACAATGAGAACTGGTTGATCACCAATGAAAGTCCTATGAAATGACACGAATAGTAAGCCATGATTTCAGTGGGAGAAGGAGACAAAGCTCTTATCCTACCTGATTGACATGCCTTCACTTTCCCATGTCAAAATGAGTGTTGAGAGTCAGACTATCCATTTTACCGCCCCATCATGACGGTAGGTCCGGTGCGCACGGACTATACGGTCAACTTCGCACGCCCTTTGCCGTTGTCCCCCGCCTTATCATCGCCCCCCGTCCGTGTAAACAAGCGTATTCGGCCGTTAGGAAGGCGATATCATCCCCCCACTTCCTAATCGAGCACGTCAATACGTCCCTCCGAGTGAAGACCGACACCGCCCCCATAGGAGAACCTTTCATCGTCATATTGTCTTCAGGGTGAGTTTGATGTTCTACACCCCCATCATGCTTCTCACCTTTGTTGTAAGGGTGTGAAAAACTGGCTTACATAGCTCTCAAGCTGGAGTTATAAGTTGAGTGACTTTCAAGAATGATATTAACACTGTCCTTGAACGTTTATGTCTTTGATTGATCAATCCACGGTACATCAGTTACAAACAGGCAATTGAACAAAGCGCTCACCATATATCTCACATGACAGACCCTACCAGCACCATCGTCATCAATCCTGATGACGTGGATGATGGGGTGCCAAGAATCACTGTACCACCACCCAGCTTAAAGGAGGTGATGGAAAATCCACGAGAAGCCCAAAAAGTGCTGTTTGGAGATGATGGCCGGGAGCCACCTTCGAGCACTTCTGATGACCAGGGGCTGTCTGAAAGAGTTCAAAGAGCCATATCTGTTTTACAAGTGTTGGAGACATTTGCCAGGACACCTAAGTTTTCAGAAGAGTTTGGAACACTGCAGGAGCAGGCAGCTGTTGGAGATGTAATTCTTCTGGTGAGATCATCCTTGTCGACAAATAGTGAGTGCATTCGCCTGCCTTTAGTCTGCTTGCAACCAATACTAGCAAGTGGGACCATAATGGTGACATTCAGCAAATCCCTCTTTGCAACATACCTTGATGATACTGCCCACAGTCATGCAATATTGTGCTGTCACTGCGGCCTCCAATTTTCCAACATGAGGGGCCCTGGACCTGCGTCTTATAAGAGCAAAAGAATATGGTGTGACCCTTCAGAACCTACATTCTGGAGCTTACGGCCTGCTCCAATGCCTCACTATCCAACATGTAGATCATATAGACCTGAACAGTCTGCTGCAAGACGCTGAGGCCTCCCAAAGGTCACTCAAAGATGACTCAGGGAGCATGCCCAGTCTGATTGAGCTACTAGGAGGGAGCTCTAACTGGGCCCCAAAATGTCCCATAACCGATCTTGATCAAGATACTCTGCAGAAGGCCACAAATATGCTGGAAGTTCTGAAAGTGTATGTCAACAAGGAGCGACGTGTCACGGCCGTCGAACAACTACTTCTTAATAGACCGGCGGTCGACGAACCTCGGCTAACTTCACGCTCTGAGTCGATGTCTCACCCAACCAGGAGGGCGCAGACGTCGAAAGGGGTGTAACTACGGCGTACTTCGGCGTAGTTACTCTAACTAGGGTTTTGTTCTACTGATGGCGATGTATCGTGATTTATAGCTATCTCTATCTGTCTTTCACTACTGACAACAATCAAGGATCGCTGAAGAACTTCAGCGATCTTCTCAGCTAATATTATCTACTCCTCCTAGACGTTCATCCAACCCTCTCGCGCTTTGACGTACTTCAACGCACTTCGTCCAACTTCCCCGAGCCCTCGGCCATCCTCTTCCTCCTTCGACTAACTCCGCCTAACATCGCCGCACTTCTGCTCCCATTGTCCCTACTTAGCCTAACTCCGCCTAACATCGCCGCACTTCTGCTCCCATTGTCCCTACTTAGCCTAACTCCGCCTAACATCGCCGCACTTCTGCTCCCATTGTCCCTACTTAGCCTAACCCCGTCTAACTTCGCCGTACTTCTGCTCCCATTGTTCCTACTTAGCCTAACTCCGTCTAACTTCGCCGTACTTGGTGTCAGAAGTCCTGAGTTACGTGTAGAGTAAAGAGGTTAAGGCGTGATGGGGTTTTGATGGCCAAAAGAGGGTCATTGTTGGTGGAGTAATCGAGGTGTCACGACGTAGTTCGTGACACGACGCAGGGGAAGTGGTTTATCATATGGGAAGAAACTAGCTGAAGAGGTGGGTATGACTGTTGAACAGGTGCAGGACACAGTCTCAGAGTACAAAATTATCACAGACACTCAGCCTGAGGAAACAGAATCTGGGCATTCAACCCATGACAGCAATGTGGCAAAGAGACTGTGTGTCATAACCCTCGAATATCTGTAAATACCACGTGCATATCATCCACTCAAGTCCAGTCAACTTTACTCAAATCGTCTCAACTCGTTCTATCGTACGACATGTGGATCACCATTCAACCTTAATCACCCTCCCATCACTGAGTCAACCTGACTCGACATTGTATACATCAATCACGTCATCTATCGTCATCTATCGTCATCTGTCGTCATCTGTCGTCATCCCAAGCTCCGGCCAACATGTACCAGGTTCCGTGTCCTCGGTTCCGCTCAGACCGGACGAACTGATAAGCGAGGGTACCTCGGGAGCAATATTAGCCGGTTGGCCGGTCGGCATCTATTTCTGTCTATGAACCCGTCCCAATCAACAAACAACAGAATCATCAATAATCGGTAATTAGCCATCAATTCCTTAATTACTAATTAGTGCCTTAATTAGCCATCAATTACGGGTACCTTAATTAGCGATCAATTACGGGTACCTTAATTAGCGATCAATTGCGGGTACCTTAATTAGCGATCACGCCACTGACGTCATAGGAGAGTACGTACGTCCGTCAAGGGTAGTACGACTCCCTCGGTTACCAAATAACTGGTTTGCTGGATCAATCACAGGATCAATCACAGGATCAATCACAGGATCAATCACAGGATCAATCACAGGGTCAACCACCGGGTCAACCACGGAATCAACCAGTCAACCGGTCGTCAGGATAGCCTTGTGAAAACACGTGTTTGAACATGGAAAACACGCTACTGATCAATACACACCCGCTACTGATGAAGAAGTGTACGCCACTGATGAAGAGTACACACTAGTGATGAGGAGTACGCACTGATGGTCAGAGGCTTCATCTCTTTCAGCAGTGCGAACGACTCAACTGAGAGAACCAGAAGGAAAACCACTCTACTGAGCATATTTAGCCTCTATTCAAACCTCTCGAACTTCTACCGAACCCGCAGGACTGAACCAGGTATTTTTGAGTCGAAATCTGCATAATGTGGGCGCCTAAGAAACACCCTCTGAACCCCCTGAAAGATCAGAGCTCATCCAGGTAGCATAGGAGAGTTTCAGGTATCAAAGGATCACATTTCATGGATCCTTTATTCGTGTTTCTTTTCATGAATTCAACCTTTGATGAAGAGATCTCTTTTGGGGGCTTCCAGGATGATTCAGAGCCTTCTGTAAGGTCGTTTAAAATGCTGTTTTTGATACAGGGTCTCCTCAGGGTTTCCCCCCTGGAAGTAGGAGAGGAGAGGAAGGAGTTTTAGGCTCAGTTTGGAGGATTTTGTCTATATATAGTGGTTCTAGCTCTCTGTTTGTTTCTCTGTCTCTCTGATCAATTGTCATCTTTGCCACCCACTTTCTACTCTAACTTATTTGTTGCCTTTAAGACTGTTTGAGACACGCCATTGCGGCTTCATCATCATCAGTCGTATATTCGTGACACTGTGTCACGAACTACGTCGTGACACCCCTAAATCCCACCAACAACGACCCTCCTTTGACCATCAAACTCCATCAATTCTCAACCTCTTCGGTTTACACGTATCCAGGACAACTTAGACCAACCACGACGAAGTTAGGCGAAGTTAGACAGGTTAAGGGTGAAGGGAACCGAGGTACGACGAGGTTAGGCGAATTTAGGTTGACTAGGGATGGAGGAAGCAGAGGTACGGCGAAGTTAGACGAGGTTAGAGGATCGGGTGTTCGGTGGTTCGGGGAAGTTGGCCGAAGTGTGTCAAAGCACGGATGGGTTGGATGAACATCTAGTGGGTGGTGGATACATTTAGCTGAGAAGATCGCTGAAGTTCTTCAGCGATCCTTGATTGTTGTCAGTAGTGAAAGATTGATAGAGATAGCTACCATACAAACGAGATACATCGCCATCAGAGAAAACCCCCAGATAGAGTAACTACGCCGAAGCTCGCCGTAGTTACACTCCTTTCGACGTCTGCGCCCCTCCTGGTTGGGTGAGACATCGAGCTAGAACCACCAAGTTAGCCGAGGTTCGTCGACCGTCGGTCTATTGGAAAGAAGTTATTCGACAGCGGTGACAGACTTGCAGTTATAGTGCAGAAACTCGCTTCAGCATTGCCTCCACGCACAGACCGGGAATAGGCGAACATTTGCCAACATTTGCCAACAGCTAGGAAGGCTCACAGATGGACCAAATTGGGGCAGGACAGAGCTCAAAACACATGCTTTTTCATTAATGCTCCACATTGCCGCAAGGCATCCTGGTGCATTGAAGGAATTGCAACGTGGAACAGCTAAGACATCAAAGTCCTTGCCAAAGAGAAAGGGTCCAAAGGCTGAACTAGAAGAAAGCACTTCTGGAAAGTACAAGGGAACTTCAACAATGGAGAGAAAGAAGGCAACTGCAAGTACTAGTGAAACGGGAAGGGGAGTGTTTCGCGCCAGTGTCACGGCCGTCGACTAACTTCTCTCTAATGGACCGACGGTTGACGAACCTCCGCTAATTTGGCTCTTTGGCTTCGGTGTCTCACCCAAACAGAAGGGTGCAGATGTCAAAAAGGGGTGTAACTACGGCGTGCTTCGACGTAGTTACTCTATCTAAGGTTTTCACTGATTGTGATATCTCGATTTGAATGTAGCTATCTCTATCAATCTTTCACTACTGACAACAATCAAGGATCGCTGAAGAACTTCAGCGATCTTCTCAGCTAATATTATCTGCTCCTCCTAGATGTTCACCCAACCCTCTTGCGCTTAGACGTACTTCAACGCACTTCATCCAACGGCCCCGAGTCCCCGGCTGTCCTTCTCCTCCCTTCGACTCACTCCGCCTAACATCACCGTACTTCTGCTTCCATTGTCCCTACTCAGCCTAACTCCGTCCAACTTCACCGTACTTCTGCTTCCATTGTCCCTGGTCCCCCTTGTCACGAACTTCGTCGTGACATCCCTGACAACTACCATCACCGACCCTCCTTTCACCATCACCCTGAACCACTGAGACCGACTACAATGAAGTTATAGGAACCTAGGGAGCATTTATCATGACAACCCCGCCTAACGGAGAACTACGGCGCAGTTAGGGGAAGGAAACCATGTGAGAGCAGAGTAGGTGAAGTTAGGCGAAGTTAGTCGAAGTGAGCGGAGTAGGATACCGGGGATATGGCGAGGTACGGCAAAGTTGAGCAAAGAGGACTGAGCGTGAGGCTGTGTAGGGGTTGGAGGACGTTCTATGAGAAGAGAGAGGAAGTATAGATAGTTTACAGATCGCTGAACTTCTTCAGCGATCCTTGTTTATTGTCAGTAGTGAAAGATTGATAGAGATAGCTACATACAAATTAAGATACATTGCCATCAGAGAAAAGCCCCCAGTTAGAGTAACTACACCAAAGTACGCCGTAGTTACACTCCTTTCGACGTCTGCGCCCCCCCTGGTTGGGTGAGACATCGACTTAGAAGCGTCAAGTTAGCTGAGGTTCGTCGACCGTTGGTCTATCGGAGAGAGGTTGTTCGAGAGCCGTGACAAAGGTTCAGCAGTTTAGCAGTGAGGCATTTATGTGATTGGCTGGATTTAGTTTCGCGTGTGCCCTCACTTTGAGGCATTTAAGTGATTGGCTAGAAAATCCCTCACACGCTTTTTATTTAGTACACCTACTTTAGTTTTGAAGGGTATAAAAGGAGCACATCTCCCCCCTCTTTCTTCAGCAATGTATCTTCATCTTGAAGTTGAACTTCTTCTTTGAAAGTCACCTAGTTGGTTCTAACCCAACACCTCAGTACCCTCAGTACCTAAGGCAGTCATCAAGCTCTACGAGCCAGAGACTAAAACCCTTCAGTACCCAAGGCAGTACTTTGCTACCGCAGTCTACCCGCTGGTGTGACACTTTGTTCACCCTTTCCTCAACATCCTCATCCTCTGAACACCGGCTCTCCACAAACTTCTTCCCAAGAGCAAACAAATATTGAGCATCAGTGGTTCCATAGGTCTTCTTGAGCAAATCATAGATTGTTCGAGCTCGATAAGCAGGGGAAACAATGGTGGAAACCGGTCAATCAGTTGAAGGAGGATCAACAGGTGACAAAAGGTGAAGATGAGCAGAGAGGATATCCTCAGAAGTGGAGTGGAGGATGGCGGCAGCAATGTCAGGACCAGACATTGAGAATAGTCTGCATCTATGAGCTATGGCTATAGGGCCTCACAGGGAACAGACCTAGTGATGTAGTTTATAGTCAAGTGATGTAGTGGATCAAAGAGGCTATAAGTCAATGAGATCAAGTGGCAGCAGGATTTGCTAAGTGACGAGAAAATACATTCAACAAGACATCTATGAAAAAGGGCTGTTTCTATATACTAAAGAGGGAGCGGAGTGATACCAAAATTTACGCAGTAAAGATGGGAAACGATCTGAGGTATAAGAGCAGAGGAAGATGGAGATAGATGAGGGACACAGAGGTGAAGGAAAAGTATTGCAAGACGGAGAGATAGCAACCAAGTAGGGAGGGAGAACGGAGGACGCCGTAATGGAATTAGTGAAGCGGAGATGGGAACGGGTAGGGTGGAGTACGACTTCTGTGTACGACTCTGAGGAACCCATCTAGAGGGTACCCGTGATCCTGACACCGCTTAGTGAGCTAAAGGTTTTCTGGCTTGAAGATCATTCTTCCTCCCCTGCCAGGTCCTGTGAAATTGTCGCCGATAGTAGCTCAAACCTTGAACAGATAATCTCAGGATTGAGATCCTTTTCCTGACCGGTCACCTCCGCGGTTCATGGAGAAGACTATCTAACGATCTCCGATGCGCACGGAAGATAAGAAATCGACGATTTTGTTGCGCACAACGCTCCCTTCTCCGCTCACCTCTCCTCGTCCGCGTATCACGTCCAAAAGTTGTCGATGGTGCTCGTCATATCGATCAGAACCCCGGAGGCGATGCCATGTTCGAGACTCGATGACGTCGTCGCCCCTCCCCTTCGGGTATGCCATCGGGGCCGACACCGCCTCCTCTGACAACCTTTCAATCGTGGCCCACGTGGCTTTTGAAGGGCTTATAACTCCGAATTCCTCATAACAACTTACCTTTCTTCCATCTATGAGAAGAGTTTGGTTGCACAGCCACTGAATGGACATATATGGTAGATCAGAGGCTCAGCTTGGTTTGCAATCATCACTTTACTTTTATAGGTTATATCCTTGAGTAACTGTGGTGTTGATCCATTACACAAGGACGTGATACAGAATCTCGATCAAGAATGCCTGAAGCCGGGCCACCAACCAAGCTGTCCTTAGTAGGTACAAAACCAGTCCGTAGTACAAAAAGCTCAGCCCCATCAATAACCCAACCTCTTTCACCATGGGCAGGAGCGCAGCTATCACTGCTACATGGGAAGAGACGAAAAGCCCACTATGACCTAAAAGATGATCATGACGGTAGCGCGGGAGCGACACGCGCCTTAGAAATACTCAGACAGCTGGAGCCCTACCTATCCTCTGACCTGAAGGGGATGCCTGAAACTGTTGACCAAGTGAGGACAACACTCACAGAGTTACGCACAATGCCTGCTGGGGGTAAGTGCCCTTTGCTGAATTGACACCATTCACCAATTGCTTTGGTGAGGTGACACCTGTGCTGATACTTAGGGAGTGTATCTCTTGAGCAAGCGCGTACTGTAATACCCATTCTGTTGATGTATGGGAGAGGGGACGAGACAGAATTCTCAAAGTTTCAAATGTACCGTCGTCTCGAGAATATAATTAAGGACTCATACCCAAGAATGGTGTTGCAGGCAAGGATGTTTGATCTCTGTCAATACATAACAAGCCGTTTGAGTCTCAAGGATCTGAAAGGCCTGATTGAGACTTATGGTCCTGAAATTGACACAGGACACAGGTTATATGTTCCAACAGTGAAAGAGCTGCTTGGTGGAGCAGAACAAACGGAATATGAAGCACTGTATGCTAGCATTGACAAGTCAAGGGCTACAGCAATGTTGGAGATGTTGAGCAGCTATACAGAGCATCAAGCTCATGGCGGCAAGCGCGTTTTTGGTAGTGCTATTATGGCTTTGCGCACTGGGATGAACGAGCAAAAGCTCAAGGGAGTCATCTCACAAGTGACTCCAGCTCTCAGGTCAGGGAGTGGGTGCTTCTCTTTTGCCTGTATGGAGGTCTTCACTAATCACAGGGGAGATAAGTCTAGACAATGCCAGAGACTATCTGCAAATAGTGCAAGCGTTCGGCAGTGTCTGCCCTCTACAGACCAGCAGGCAGTATAGTGACTTTGTGAGGAGTGTGAGACAGTTCACATCACTGCCAACCACTGAATCACGACTCAATGAAGACTGTACCAACAAAGCCCTCAGAATGCACAGTTATGCCCTTCTCACCCATGTGTGCCAACCCTTTCCTGGTCTTCTGGCCAGTCTTGCCGGACACAGTGCACCTTTGGGACCTTCCCCAGAGCCCAGTGGCAATACTGAGGGCGTACTAGGACGGTCGTCAACATCACCTGACAATGAAGATGGAGTTCCTTACCCAGACCTTCAAGGCAGCTCCAAGGAGGTAACTCCATCTAGTGATGAGCTAAGAGGGAATGAACAAATCAGTGACGTGGAGGAGAAAGAAGAGGTAGAAGAAGAAGAGGAAGAGGAAGAAGAAGAAGAAGAAGAAGAAGAAGAAGAAGAAGAAGAAGAAGAAGAAGAAGAAGAAGTAGTAGTACAAGAAGAAGAAGAAGGAGGAGGAGAAGAAGAAGGAGGAGGAGGAGAAGAAGAAGCAGAAGAAGAAGAAGTTGTTGATGAATCATCTCCCGGGTCCCAAGTTCTTGAGAGATACCTTAGGGAAGGAGGTTCAAGCAACGAAGAGTATCTTGAACTAGCAAAAACCCTGCAAGCTACTGCACTTGAACGGCATCCAAGAGGTGTTCCACCTAGGGAACCCCACCCCTCTATTGCTCGCCGAAGTGAAGGGTGAGTGACGGACTTGTCTAAGCACTTATCACCTTCGATCCAGGAGATATGATAAACTCATTTGCGAGTAACCAGGAATGCATGAGATGATGATGAGCAAGCTACTCCATCTTGCCTTATCGACTAGTTCTACGTGTTACTGTCCCTTTCCCTTTGAAGGCAATTTGAAAGTGTACGCTTCACGATCTATCGAATGAAGTCTTTGTAATTCCAGCAAAAGGCGGAACATCTATCTATCAATTACCCGATCAAAAGTGATGATAATCCTCATAAACCTGAAACTCCCAAGATTACAGAGCATACAGTATGCCATTCACACTGAATTAGATGAGAGAAGAAACGAAATGACCAAGATAATATGGAGATACATGATTAGAAGATGATAGACTCACGTAAGATTGCATATCTGCCCATGACCAATGTTCTAAAGCGTAACGTTGACCAGCTTCTCCTATCTTTCTTGCCAGATACTACGTGTAAGCTTGAGGGAACATCATCACGGACAGTTATTGATACGGATGGTTAACTCACGTCATGACCTTTACTCTCGTCAACATTCCCATCTTCATCTACTGGACCGACGAAGAAAGCCATGATATCGTATAAATCTGAGTAATCTGGTTTGAGTGGAATGTAGTGATACCACGGTACTACCTGTCAGTTTCTTGGGGGAGAGCATGGGGAGCTGAACTTACTGAGACGTTCCTAAACGTGTCAGCATTTCTCATATGATTCTCAGTGGGAGTGTGCTTCTCAAACGTCCACTGACAAAGCTGGGAGATAAGAACGACAGGGGTTCACCGAAGGGACCCAAAGAGCTTTTATCGGAGGGAGGAGAAATTATAGGATTGAAGGACAAAACTCACCTGATGCCATTCCGGGAACATTGTGAATTTAATAACAGGACTTCCTGATCCTAACAATCTATGAAATCTTTGAGACCAACCATTACCATCGACATCTAGTAGGTATTTGAACGCTACGGCTTGATGCGGCCATACTTGCTGACCGAATTCGATGGTGTTTTTTATTGTTTCACATAAATCGGGATGTTCTTGAGGACACTGAGCGTTAGCAAGACTACGACGACACATCCAACCCCTAAAAATTCATCGACGTGGGTAACCTTGTAACCAAGGTTAAACCCGGTACAACATGTGATCAGAAATACTCGGAAGACGTTCGGCTTTCATGTTGTTTGCCGGGGTAACATACATATAATTACTTGGGGTGAGGGGAACGTTGAGAGTTTGCGACGCACAAGAAGCATAAATATCGTAAGTGGAACCGTTGGAAGAATTACAGCCAATGATCGTGTGAATCTGTGAAGAGGGTAGAACGAAAGAGAAATCTTCAAACTCACAGCAATCAACTTTCCCGAAACTTTCACATCAACATAAGCTTTACTCAAAGTTCTATCCCATCTTCTAACCGTTTTATATCCACCTTGACCATCTGGCATGATAACATCCCTCGCCTGATTGGCCCACCAAGCATCACCACCTTTAGGTCCATTGACCATCAAATGTAACCTAAATCGATGTGATTCTTTCCAATCTCTGTGGACGTTGTATCCTCCCGTACTTGACCCTCGCCAGAAAAGACGGTTGTCCGTTTTCTCTTCCCATGAAGGGAGTTCGTCTAAGGATTCTTGAGTGAGGTTTTGATATCCTTCCATTGGTGTGACTTGGAAGGAAGAGTCCGCTGGGAATTTCGAGAGAATCAGAGCTGGTTTGAGTACGGATGGTGATCGGTTCTTCCAGTCGATCCTGAGGGTCAATGTAAGTCTCTAATGTCTCAATTGTGGACACAAAGATTAGGGCAGCTGCGCATCGGGTACTGGGTGTTGAGTATTGAGTGTTGGGTGTTCACAAGTCTAACGCAGCCCGAACTTCCGCAGAGGCAAAGGGAATCGAGATGAAGATCAAGAAGCGAGGAGAAGATGTGGGGTTCATGACATAATATGTAGATAATGCGATAAAAACGAAAAGAGGGAAATGGTAAAGGTGAGAGAAGTGATGACACAACTCACGACATAGCCCCATGTAACCTCTTCAACTCTGGAAAATCACAAAAGTCCATAGTGGGTAAATGATCATAAATGAAGGTTTTAGCTGTTCATCAGATCCTCACCCCTCACAAGATAAATCACTCACGCAAAATCTCATTGGTAGCATTCTCAGCCCCCGGTCGAATATTGGCGGGTGAATCTAGTGGGCAAGCTTTCTGTTCGGTCAGTCATGTCAAGAATCATCAAGTTGACTTTTTTACAGAACCCTGTTCGTCTATTTGCTTGTCCGTTGTGAATTTATCGACAATGGGGATTCATGTGATTGTTGATCGGTTGAAATAGTATAGTTGGGACAGCAGAAGCTGCGGAAGGACATCAATGCGTTGGGGTTGTGGTTGGGTTATGCGATTACTTTCCGAGTTTTTGGGTCGGGGAATGAAAGATGTTTTGAGTAGTTGGAGGATAGATGATGAGGAAAGTCACTCACAAACCATCCCCATGCTGGTGTCCTATCTGGATCTTCTAATTTTTCTAATTCTTCATCGTCGAAATCTAATTTGATCAGCATCCTTTCAAACATTCCGGATTTTACGGGACCGTGATGTGTGTTCCGGTAACCGTCGATCAATCCCTTGGAGATGGTCTGAAAGCCGGCGGTTCCCACTGGAAGAGTTAGAAGAGCTTTGGGGATGATAGTGTGGTAAGTTATATAGTAGGATGAACATGAATACTATCCTATCATACTACCGTCTTATCGAGCAGCAAAATGAGAAGAAAACCGATCATCTTCAAATCCATCCATCAAATATGTGTACAAAGTCCCACTTCATTCGAACATCTCAAGAACCAACAAGGGGGAGTAAGCAAGGATTTACCGAGAGAACAAGGAGGAAAGATAAAGGTGTGGAAAACGAGGGGGAAGGGAAAATGAGAAGAGAACGACAAAAAAAAATGAAAAGAGAAAAACACACACACACACAACCAACTCACATTTACCCATTTTAACCAATTCCATAGCTCTTTCCCTTTGATCCCTACCCAATACTTGACTACCAGTATCATGATCACTTCCAGTTATTTTCAATTTAAATCCATCAGGTAACCATTCCTTAAAACTATCAATCATCTCTTTCATTTGACCCGGTCTAAAATTCTTCGCCCTAGGTCCTTTCACTATCGTAGGTTTTTCTTTATCGATTTCCAAAGTATACGTAAAAGGTTTATTTTCTAATTCTTCTGATCTTTTTATAAATATTTCAGGTTTTAAAGAAAGATGTGGTAATAAATCTTTCATCAAGAAATTAAATTCATCTTTTATTTTTATATCGTTTTGTTGATTGAATAGAAACCAAGAATCGAAACCTATTGGAGGTTTTATATTATAACGTTTCCTATATTGATTATAAGCTTGTTCTAAAGATTTTGATTGTGTTGAAATTAAATGATTCCAATTATCTTCTGCTTTTTCCATTAATTCGTAAAATGGATGTTCTGGTTTATTTGATGTTATTTTTTGTTTCCCATTTCCAACTCCTACTTTTCTTTCTATTCCATTTCCATTTGAACCTTTTATTTCTGATCCTGATCCTGATCCGAAAATACCATTCTCTTCATTTCGTATGATACCTGCGGCTTGACGACCAATTTGATTTCTTTCCACTTGTTCACCTGTAAATCTACTATGTATCAAAGTTACCATACCCGTTTTACCCCAAATCAAAGAAGAATGTCTACCTCTTCTACCACCAGGTATAGAAAAACCTAAAGGTGGTGGTGGTATTCTTTCTATACCTAAACCATGTCTGATACCGAACCAATATAATAGGAAGAAAATGACTATTAGATATAATATTTTCTTTGGTCTTCTGATTGTACGTGGTAATGATGGCCCGGAATGAGGGTTTAGGATGGAATTTGTATTATTAGAGTTCGAAGGTGTTGAAAGTGGATAAGAAGATAGAGGTATGGAATGTGATAATGTACGTGGATATCGTGTTGAACGTGGTTTAGGTGAGATGGAAGGGTATGAAGGTGATGAACGACCTGATCGAGGCATTGTTTCGTTGAGTGTTTTATCTGGTGAGGGTTTATGTGACAGATTTCGTCTTTCCAGATAGCCGGCTGACGGACAAGACTGTATTGGTCGTTGTCGTTGATGAAGATGTAGTGAGTTGAAGGCGGTGAGAGAACGATGAAGATACAGTAGTTGTGAGAGCGGGAGAGAGCGACAGAGATACGAGTAGGTTTGATTCCGACCCTGCCTGGAATCTTGGCTCCCTCCACTCTCCCCCACCCGCCCACAAAGCTGAAACGGCCAGATTCATACAATCATGACTGTCTCAAACCAATCATTCAACAGCACAACAGCATGATCCCATGCAATGCATATACATATAATGTCATATCAATCTTACAGATTCTCTGATCTTTTATACAACCTCTCCCCGCATCATGATAATCAACATATATCTCGTAGCGTCATAAAACTCAACGTCGTTCGTTTTGTCGTGAACGGTCAGGGCGATAAGGTCTAGGACCTTTTTTCCATTTCTACCAATCAGCAAATGAGAACAAACCAATTAAGAGACATACCGAATGGTCAACGAGGGTGAAATCGGATGAGATGGCCAGGTTGGTAAGCTACTTAGTCAGCCACATCGACACACGGACACGTAATATAATTATGTAGGTTGTCCCATCTCGGAGGCGGATGAGTGAGATGTGAAGAGGGTGACACAGTCATATCCACATCTCCCGCATAGGAACGTTGGGAGAGACCAGAGACTTCATAAGGAGTTCTCGCAGATACACCGTACCCCGGCCACTCACATACGCCCCGAGTCGTTCCAACTCCCGATCTCGTAAACCTTCCAACGTACCGGCAGAGTTGAAAGCTCGTATCTATCATAAGCATATGTCCGACTGCTTCACGGGAGAAACCTCACCCGCAGACCTTCACCAGGGTTCATGGCAAAGTTCCGTGACAAATCGTCAATATGTATTGTCTAGCATCAGCTCACGACCCCATCTAAATTCATGTATATCAATCACTTTCTCCACTCTTTCCGCTTTCTTCACTTGTTTTCCTTTCTTGACCTTTTTGGCTTGCACAAGATCCTCTTCAAATATGGAGAGGTCAAATGGGATGACTCACATTCTTCGCAGACCACTGAGGGAATGAAGCCCATAAATAAGCAAGAGGTTTGACTTCATGTTGATACGATTGACCATTACGCATAGAAAAAATCTACATCATTAGACACTGGATGACCTGCGGCGAGGGGAGACATACCGGGAACATTGAACTTCTATCCGCGACGAAACATACCTTATGGTCAATCGTGATTTTATGCAACACAAAAGACGTACTTTGTAATTACGGTTTCCACCTAGCATACCAAGTTCGTAAAGCTTTCCCTCTATCCATCTCCAATGAGTCTGAGACCAAATGACGATATCATAATTTTGATATGCACTGCGAGTCAGTATTTCGCCGGTTACATCATGTCTTAGCATTCATTATAACCAAAGAGTTAAAAGTTTCCGAAGCCTCGGTTTGTGAAAGATCTAGCTAATGGGAGTTAAAATTTTTGAGTGGATTAGGGGAAAGAATCGGATAGTGACAATTGCGCAAACTCACAGCTCCAAGAATCGATGCAATCCAGGTCTGGCGCATTCATCGGCTGGTAAAGATCCAGCGATTAGAGGTTTGGTATCAACGATGGCTATTGTCAACTTGCAGATATATCCCATTCAACTGAGATGACTTACTATAGTCCAAGTCAAGTACAAGAAGGCCTTTTCCTGGCCTGGGAGGGTTCATAATCTTCTCATCAGCAACTGTGCTGATTTCTCTCCTTCGCTGAGCCTAATACATTTGAGGACAGGAGTGACAGCTGATTGACATGTATCGTATTGCACTGTCAACCCATACTCATAGTTGATACAGAGAGTGGGGAAATCAGCAAGTGCGGAATGAGAGAGATCAAAGACAGCCGAGAACAGCTTGACCCACCGTTATAGGTATCTCCTTAACTTTCTGCTCTATTCTCCTCAAATTCCTTGGATCGTCCGCCGGAGACACCCTGTTCTTCCCATCCAAATGTCTCGGATACCTAACATCGAAATCATCCACCACATCGGGTAAAGTTACCTGACTGGGATCTTTGAAAGATAATTCTTCAGGAGTTCCGATCATCGTAAACTTGGATCCATCTTTGATTCCTAGAGTTCCGAATCTTGTGGAATCTAGTTCAGGAGAGAGTTTACCTTTTGTCAGACCGATGAGTTTTTGACGCACAGGAGGGACGTTTGTTAGACGGTAGATGACGTCTCTGAAATCGTATACCCTATTTGTCAGCTTGGTGATCCACAGTACTTCTATCGGCGTGACTGGAAAATTCGAATTTTTGGTACATAGGGATCCATGACAGTGTATTTTTATCATGTAGTGGATAGGTAATACTTCAGATTGTGTCATAGACCCATTACCTGATTCTAACATGATCTTATACATACTACTTCGAGTATGTGACGTCGAGAGATCTGACACTTGACATCATGGAATGAACCATATGACGACAGTTGGGAGATAAGGTCCAGAAGGGGAGAAAGGAGAAGAAACATAGAAACTCACATATCATTACCAGCAACTCTCAACTCGTACACTTTCCCTTGCCAAGCCATTTTGAGGTCAAACCAAATATTTTCTTCAGGTTCTTCAGGTAACGGAACCGTTTCCACCATGGGAGTTTCATCATTCCCTCCTTCTTGATCCCCATCATCTCCCTCCCCTTCTTCTGTGAGATCATTCCCCATTTGATAATTTCCGTTCTCATCTTTATCTATTCTAGCCATATTGGGTAAATCGACATCTCCTTTCTCTCTTATCGTCTCTTTGTCTTTCCCATTACCATTACCGTCAACAGCGGGGAGGGTGATAGGGTCGACGTCGATAGGTGAGACTCCCTCCTCTCCTGGATGATTCTTGATAGGAGAAGGATTTTCGTCCGTATCGAAAGAATCGTCTTTATCGTCCTTCTGTTCGGAGGTCAGATGAAAGACTTTGGGTCTTTTGGAAGAAGAGGTTTCTACGTCGGGACGAGCTGAGACAGAGGGGGTGGCGTCTGACATGATTGAGTGGGGTGTCTTAGATACACAACGTTGAGTCTGTAGGTGAGGAAATATGAGGTGAGAAGGAGAGAGAGGGAAATGATTTGAAGGAGAGATCAAGTAAAGGGTACTGTATAGATGAAAACATCCAAGGTGGATTGATACGCCGATGTATGAGTAGCGAGTATAGGGAGGGTGACACAAAGGAGATGGTGGGGAAAGGAGGGAGGGGGAAGATGGGGCGACCGTGGGAAAGTGGAGGTTCTGGTTGGGATCACCAATGAGTACTACAACTTGAATCAAGCAGTACTAGCAGTATAGCAGTACATACCGCACGAGGGAGAAGATATAGCATCTATAACACCTTGAAAAGCTCAAGGAGAATGCAAGAAGGTAATGGTGTGAGCTCGAATGGAAGGGTGATCACGCTAGGTGTGTATGCCAGTCAAAGCGGAATGATCATAGCAGCTGAAGATTGACCGGTCAGAAGAATTCATCATTGATACTTTCACACATATCCAAGAGGATGGAAGTCAAGTAGATGTGGATCAACCTGATCAGATTGGAGGTGGAGGGTCGTACGGTAAGTCTATCCGTCCTCACCACTACCCTCAATCTCTACTCCAACTTACATCTTCATCAATTGTCTGCTATCCTACTCTTCCTCTCCATCAACCTCGAGAGTAGGGCTCAAATGTGAGTCTTTAAGAACACATGTTGATTCAAAGTAGGTACATGGAGTGATGAAGTAGCTTAGGGCTCTGATGAATATCAGAAGTTTCATGCATATAGTGAGCTGATGCATAGCAATCATAGGTGCTCGTATCTTTCTACCCCCGACAAAAGTAGGAATGTTATTATCCTACACCCCTGAATCTTTACCGGAACCCATGAGACAATCTCTCCTTGCGTACGGGGAAGAAATGTGGGCGTTCGTTCTCCGAAAAGATGGAAACCCAACGACAAGGATTCTAAACACTTATCATGGTCAAATCAGAACGTGAGTCTTCTCAAACGAGACATACATATGTATTATTATCTGAAACGAGTGAGATTCAAGCTGATATGTTGAGAGAAAGATATTTATCACCTCCTAATCTTTTCACACCTCTTTCTCTCCTCAGTACACCATGGATAAATCCTTCAAATCCTGAAGATTGGCCAATAATAATACATTTCATATCGTACTCCGATAGAGCAAGGAAAGTAGTGGAAGAACTTGATATACTGAGAGAAAAGATGGGAAAAGATGATTGGATACCAAAATTAGTTTGGGAACCGTATCCTGTACGTCGTCTCTGGTTGTTCTCTCTTTCTGTCTTCTCCTATGTACAACATATGAAAGTCTTCTTTAGTTGTTATCTTTATCGTACATGTACTTAACAATGATAATAAACACTTCTGGTTACTTTACTCAATCTCTTCCGATTAGTTTGTATGGGACGAGTAGAGAACTCGAGGAAAGTTTTGTGTTCGGGATTGGTGAAAGAGATGTTGGAGGGGGAAAGGTAGAGGCTGACAGACCAGCCCATGTGCATTCCAGAGAATGTGACTGCATTACGAGAACTAGTTCCTTTTTTCGATATCATTTCGTCAGTCAAATCAACTTATATCTTGCTCTATCCCTCAACTGACAATTCAGTCCAAACCATACCGAAGCTCTTTCTTTCTTCCCCTCTCTATCCATCCACCCAAATCTCGATAAACCTTCTTTCGTCCCTTTTCCCCTTCAAGAAACCCCGCAAAGCACATCAAACCTTCCCTCACCACCTCCCGATTCTCTCCCTCACGACCTAGAGATCAATGAGACAGACGTCGCTGAAGAGAGATTGAAAGAAAATATCGAACTCGCCTGTTTGAAATTGTTATCTTTCAAACCGAAAATAGGAGTGATAATCCGTTGTGGTCATTTAGGTTGTTGTTATGCTCTCTCTCCTTTTCACTCTGACTCACTCTTCAAAAAGCCCTCAAACTCCCAAGGTCCACTCTTTGAGAACACACCAGATTCTCAAATGATGGAAGAGATAGTAGGAAAGGGTGAGAATGAAGAGAGGACGAAAGTTATTTGGATACCGGCATATTGGGATAAATCTGATGAAGAAAAAAAGGTGGATCCTACAGGAGCAGGAAACGCATTTATGGGAGGTGTTTGTGCTGCTTTACACAAAGGATTAGATTTACACCAAGGTACGTTTCACATTCATCTCGCCTCAGGACAGGATCGTGTCGAGTGAACTGTGAAATTCCTTTCTTCATTCATGGTTATCTTGGGAGTGGGTCCGATGATTCTTTTGTGTTTTTTTTTTCCCTTTGAAATCATTATGACCAATGAGAAATCAACATTTGAGTCCACGGGTATTGTTGATTATCGTTTTACAATGGAGAAATAAGCTTTGGGTCGATGGAATGGTTATTTTTGGGTATTTGTGTCTAGTGAAAAACCAAACTTCAATTCAAGGAATACCATGTCACCGTTTCGAATGGATGAAATAGGATCATGTAAGAAGTGATCGAGACAAAAACGGAAGGATTTGGGGTCGTTTGAGGTTTAAAGAGTGACATTCGAAGAGAGTTCAAGCTAATTAGTAGCTGTGTTATATGGAACAGTGGCAGCTTCATTCATCATCGAACAACATGGTTTACCTTCTTTAACTCTCATCGAAGGAGAAGAAAGATGGAATGATGATTCTCCTTTTAGACGATTAAACATTCTTCAAGGAAAGTTATGCCCTAAGTAGTCATGCCGAAAGAGCCACCTGACTGGTTTTCGAGAGATATTTCCAGGTAAATTTTATCTGACTTTAGCACTAGGAATCTTACGAGTACGAGTGAATCTCTAAATCGGCCAGGATGTGTAGCAAGTAACAAGCCAGCAAACAATAAGTGGTCAGTCGTCAAGTTGATCTGGCTGAGTACAAGATGGACATTCAAAACTCTCTCAAGCCAAATTGAGGGGAAAAGCAGAATCTTGACGCTATACTCGTACAAAACCAGATGCATGTCATGCGACGATTCACAATGCAAGTTATATTTTGTCTCATTCGTTCTAGGATGATGTTATGATACTGAGAACATTCCGAACGTCATGTACGAACCTTAAACTATCAAGGACGGGTATACAATGTAATAAAGCTTGATCTTCAGGATCAGATGTCCAACTTTCGATAGGTAATGCGTTATCTAATCAATTTAGTTTTTTCTCCTTTTTTATACTTCTCTTCTTCTTAACACTACCTCATCTTCACCCTTACTCTCCAAACTTCCTCTTTCACCACGTCGTTAGTCCCTAATGACTAAACTACTATATCGCTAACGAGATCACATGATAGTCGTGAGCGGTTTGTTATCGTCTCCTTCCTCACTTTTTAAGCCCATGTCGAGTGAAGAAGTCCTACATGTGACATTCAATGGATAATGATGATACCAGAAGTCTAGGTTCGAAATGGGTGTGGGTAAGAAGACAGTAGGGGTCAAAAGGTAAGCCCACCTTTATGCCACGTATAACTAACAGGAGAATTATCCAGAATACACACTCTCGCCAAATCCGGTTCTACCATTGTCAAATCTTTTATATAAGTCCCGTTCCTTTGCATATGACATGAATCGCGATAAAGCTTCTTTGCGAATAAGTTTCTTCCGCCGTCTAACCAGTCGATAACTGGGTCAGCGTATTCTGGCATGGAGGCGGTGAAGATGACGAGGGTGTACCATGCGGATACCTGCGTGTCAGACGAATTTCGCACAGGAACATTCACTCTTCAATACAGTTTCAGAGCCATTCGAGAAGGCACCACGAGGATAATGATCGCTAAAGCCGCTTATCCTAAGAAGAGGCAAGTGACGGTGGTGATCAAGGAGGAGGTCAGATGTGATGATAGGGTGATTCCCTTGAAGGGCTTGGGAAATGAGAGGAGGGATATGAAAGAAGAATTACCAACCTTTTTCAAAAAGTGATCCACATAAGGTCTCTTGTAAACATGATAAGTCGTACTTCTCCCATTCAAGATAACCTCGATCGTATGACCTTCCCTACCTTTCCCCCCTCTCCCAAACCATCCACCGAAACTCAACCCCAAAATCCCTCCTCCTCCCGTACTCGCCGTCGCATACCCCAAAGGTCTCGAAGTGGAATGTATCAAAGTCTCATCTAAATCTAAAACTAATATCAGTGCTTTTTTACGGAAGAACGGTACTTGATTCGGTTTTTGTCGAGAAAGGGATGTGACGGTGGTGGGTGGAACGGAAGGATCTAAGACTGAAGTTGTGATAGGTGAGGGTAAAAGTCCGGAAACTCTTTTCTCTGGGATTCGAGGTGATGGCTTAGTGGTTTGTAATGGATTGGAGAGAATGGAGGTTGGTGCAGGTGTGGGAGATAATGGTTTTGGTTGAGAAGGTTTAGAAGAAGGAGGTGTGGGACGAAGTCGAAATGTTAAAGAAGATGATTCTCTTAAACGACTGGAAGTGTTGTTGTTGTCTGTGGTGGTGGAGGTGGAATCGGTTATGTGTGATGAATGTTTCTTCTTCTTTGCATGTATTTTACCTTTACTACCCTCCCCTTCTGTAGTCTCCGTCCCATCATCGGAACTCTCTCCTATAGTACGTCTTCTCCTACGTCGTTTCACACGAGTCGCTCGTGTTTGTCCAACGATGGATTGCCAGAAAGAAAGGAGTATAGCCCAGAGGACGAGTACCAATCGAAGTAATAGAGGAGTTGAAGGAGGTGGAACTTTGATGTTTGCCGTAGTGGTTTTTGGGCGGGATTTGTCATGAAGTGCTTTTGAACGTCCTTCCGGTGGAAGATTGGATACATGACGTTGACGAAGAGCGGAAGGGGCTAGAGAAGGTCGACGTCGTATTGAACGTGAAGGGGGTGGTAGAGGGTTGAAAGTCGAGCTAGAGCTAGAGCTGGTAGGGGGGAAGATGACACGAGAGATGGAAGAGTCGAGTCGACTGAGAGTGTTCATCTAGACTATGAGCTGTATTCATCATGTGAATGAGCAGATTTAGAGCTTACCGTATACTATGCAATATCATGTTCATCGATTGACCGAGAAAAGTGGGGATAGGAAAGGGATGGGGGGAGAGGCGACGATCAATGGTTATTCTTGCACCGCAGAGAGATGAGTCAAGTAAGGATTCTCCTCTACTATCAGATAACTGCCAAGGTATATTCTTGATGTTTCAATTGATTCTCGCTGATGTATGAAGAGAAAGAAGAGGAGGAATGTGGGATTTAAGTTAGGTGATGGTGGAACACTCGCACTTGACATCCCCACCATTCCAACCTGCAAACCCAATGTGGCACGTGGCACCGCCTCTTCTTTCTCCGTCCCTTATGACAAACCCGTGCATTCTCATCCTTGACATGAAAGTGAGGACCCACTCCGGTCTCTGTGAAAGAATCCAAGACAAGAAAGGTTTAACTTGTCAGTAATATGACATGACTTAGAACAGTATTGCCATGGGTTTCGTACCTTGGTCAGGGATGAACGTCGCGTGCGGAGTAGTAGGAGTAGATTGGAAAGTCTTTTGGCTTACCACGGCCGAAGAGTCGTGCGCTACAAACAGGAATAATGTTACCCGCGACGACCTCCTTTCTTTCTCCCCTCCAAACTGACCATTAGATCCTTTCACCTCACCCCATTAGAGAGGCTGGATGAAACTCATGAGCACCAACATACCTCTCACTGTATCATTTCTCGATCCAAATCTCACCTCTAACCGAACAATGATCTATTGCAATCGGTCGATATAATCAATTCACGCCATGCCCCAATGCCTCCTTCTTCACACGGGAATTCGATGATACCTGATGTGGTCCAGCGAGACGAGACGACCACGACTGGGGGTGCATTATCACCTTCTAACTTCATACAAAGTGCCAAAGAACATTTCAACGTTTCTGGAACTTCTATACTCGTCGCTTGGGGTCTTACCGCTGTTGCTTCCGTGCGTTTCTGCTCTATCCCCTCATTCCACCTCCCATTCACTCGCTATCCTATTATCCATCGCCTTTCCCCTAGTACGTGATGAGTCGTATTACCGGCTATGCCAACGTATGAGGAGGATAGAAGAGGTGAATGACGCAGAAGGAAACTAACATCAAGCTAATAATAATTTTACTATTCTCAAGATGGCGATTGGTCCAAAAACCAGATTACGAACTCATTTATCTTCCTCGAGCAAAAGCATGTGCTAGAAAAGAGAGATTGAGACAAGAAGGAGGGAAGAAAGAGAAACAAGATGGGATTTGGTCTGCTCCTGTTCCTCCTGTACGTTTCTCTCTTTTTTTTATGGATAAACCGACAAAGCTGAGAGGATAGTTGAATCGAACATTCTTTGGTTGGTTGAAACCAGCTTGGAAAGATGTCATGATAGATCTTCAATGGGTCAACAGGAGTGAAGCTCAGAAAGAGAGGAACAAACAGTGAGTTTGTGGTTCCCATCCTTGTTTTTTTCTGAAACTCCCCCATCCCCCCTCATTCACAAGTAGATCCGAGAATCTTTGTTGACCTGGTGTAACTTTTCCGGTCCCCTCAAAAGTTATTGCGGGAGTGATTGAGTTGGTATTGGAGTGGGAAACATGACAGAAGAGTTTTGACTGACAAAACAGACTTCTTGATGATCTTGGTAAGTCAACTCATTATGTTCACCATGAAAGCTTATGACAGGTCTGGACGCTTTCACTTACATTCAATTTCTCCGTTTACTCCGTTGGCTATTTTTGACTCTCTCCATCGTGGTAGCGATGCCACTCGTCACTGCTAATTACCTCATCAACACATCTACTCAATATTCCGATTATACAGTTGCTTCCACTACTTCAAACCTCACCTCAGCCGTCAGTGGGAATAGTACTGCCTTATTGACAGGTATACAATTATTGACAGCTGCAAATATTCAGGGGAATGCCTTGTTGGTTCATATTGGTTTTGAAGGGATTGCTACTTGTATCGTTGGTGTATTCTGTGAGTTTCATCTTCCTTACCTTCCTAATCATCTCCCATTCTTCTCCCCTCATTTGAGTACAACATGTAAATTGGTGATTCCTATCACTACCTCTTGTCTCATCAAAAAAGAGGTGGATTGCTGAAATTCAGTCATGCAACAATTATGGAGACATGGAGCATCAGTAGAAAGATGGAGAGCGATGTAAGTTTACCTCTTTTCCTCTCCCTCCAATCCCCCTGTCCATCTTGAATGGCACCTTGAATGTAAGGATATTCGGATTGTCAGTGCTAATCCTGTAGGAATTACGCCGAAGTATCCTTCAAAACAGTATTCCTCACTCATCTAAATGTCGCACCCACTGAATCAGTATCGACCGGATCATCCCTCAAAGAACATTTCACAAAACCCAAAAAACGTCGGATAGTACTTGAGGCTCAACAGATAATTCGTAAACGATTAAGATACGCCGGGAACTTGGACCAAAGTAACGTTTGGTTTCCATTACATGATGTTGGAAGATTAGCCGACGAAACGGATGAATATGTCAAAGAAGAATTCGAAAGGGTCAACACATTGTTTTATATGCATCAAGTGAGGGATTTGAAGAATCCTATGGTGGATGCTCCGAGGATCTTTACTAGTTTTTGGGCAAAAGTGATGAGGCGACATTCTGTGAGTTAGATAAATCTCTTATCATTTTACTCAATTGGCAGTTCTCTCAGATGGTTTTCAAAGATAATCGTTTGAAGGTGATCATGTACTGGGGAGAGTGGGTTAGATGATTGATAGCTGACAGACAGAGACTTGAAGAAGCTGTGTAAGTCAAATTTCTACCATCCCAAGGAGATTCAAGGGAGCAAAGAGGAGAGAAATGATATTGACATGATAGAGAAGTCGCATTGACTCGTCAAAAAAAGTTGAATGAAAGTAGATCAGCCATTCTCAATGGGAACAAATACTTTGCACCTCAAGGGATGATGAAAGATACCGCCGAGTTGAAGAGAAGTGTGACTCACGGTGGGTCGAGTTTCTCTCCTTCTTATCCATACACTCCTACCTGCCTTATCGTCTTATTCTCCTCTCATTTCCTTGAGACAACCCTGCCTGATCATGTTGTTCATCTAAGTTCCTAATCAACTCAATGTTTTTAAGTGATGGGGGTGAAAGGAAGAGTATGGAAACCTAACCATCAGCCTTCGTCTCCGTCCCCGCTGTCGACAAAGCTCAAGCGCTTTCAGCTCAATCTTTGAAAGATCCCGGTAAGTCCATCTTGAAAGGTGTCAAAGTGGAGCTGGTATGTTACTCCTTTTCCCCTCTCGTTTCTGACTGACAATAAGGCTCCAAGACCGAGAACAATTGTATGTTATTCTCCTTATCCTTGAGCTGAATGTTGATAAAGAAGATATGGAGGAATCTGGAAAGATCAGAAAAATCAAAGTTGATTCATGCTTGGATAGGAAGAGGGATATTCTTGGTCATTATAATATTGAATTGTGTTCCATTGATGGTGATCCAGTGGTTGGCCAATCCCGCACCGGTGAGTTCGATCGTCTTTCTTGATGTGTTCCGTGTCCGTACTTCCAAGAACCCTCTCTTATCTTAACTTCGTCCTTCGAACTGTGAGACCAGTGAGGGGGGGATGAGAAATTCAAGCTTCTTCCTCCCACTTCTTCTAGACGTTTGGAATAAGTGAGGCTTACTAAGACCGGAGAGGTAGAGATATAAAAGAGGAGATGTCAGGACATTTGGAGATGATTGAGACACTGAAACTGGGAAGAAGAGTAGGGATGGAAGAGAAGTACGAATATATTACTCACCCCAGCTTATCGCCGCTTGGCCATGGCTAGATTCCAAAACCAAAGAAAACCCAGTCTATCTGACAGTCTTAAACGCTTTCTCCGGTGCTATGTCCGCTTCTGTCTCTGGAATCTTTTATCTGATTCTGCCATATGGAATGCGAAGACTTAGTCGGTGGTCCGGTGCGTTGTACAGAGGTCAATTGGATAAAGATGTAATCAGAGGGTTGTTCAATTTTCTATTGGTGAGTTTTCTTCTTCTTTCGTTTCCCATTTTCACTCTTCATTCTTCCTTGTAACCAAAGTTCCTGCCAAATTTCTGTTCTCCTACTTTCCCATCTCCTCACGACATATCTAAATCAAGACGCCAGTTCTCCATCTCACTCTGCCAAATCCACTTTGTTTACTCCTACTGGTGCAGTACTCCATCGACTTGTTGGACAAGTGAGCAAGCACACCGATTCAAGATCTCTGCCTATTCTCCTCAGGAGAAACCTGATATTTGAGGATCATCAGGTTTCATCTATTTTACAAAGATTGAAGTGACTCACACTAGATCTCAAACTTTGTAATCTTTTCTCTCCTTGGAGTCCTTTATTCAGCCTATACAGCAGTCAACACCGAGTTCGCCAATCAAGCCAATGTCACCGTATTCGATTATCTTAAAGCTATGGCTAAAGTACCAACACAAGTGACGAACGCTTATATTTCTGAATCATCTTATTGGTTATCTTGGTTCCCGTGAGTTTTGGTTCTGGTTTCTTTCCTTTCGTTTCCACTGGAGTACACTTCTTTCCTTATAATTGACATGAGGTGAGTCGATGCGATAGTGAGTGGTAGTGTCATGTGATATTGAGATTTTGAATCCACGTGAGATTGAGGGAATGAGATGATGTGAGGCTATGTGAGGGGGAGAGATGAGGGAGAGGCAGAATATATAATGTGAGACCTCGGATAAGAGACAACATGATTTCCGCAGGGTGGAGGAGCGGATGTGAATTCTCGATTGAAAGTCCTAGGGCGGTGAATTGGAGTCGGTAAACGTGAGCAAGCGCTGACACGTAGGATGCACGCAGCTATCATAGTCCTTCAATTATTACAATTACCCGCATGGGCAATGCAGATATATCAACTATAGTAAGCTTTTTCGCATCCTTCTCTCTTCTCTCCTGATCCTCTTCCTTGCCGAATCTACGGACAAATGACATCTTCGTCCATGTACGATTTTCGAAGGAGATAGGAGGGAGGGGGGGTTGGAATGGATGAGGGAGAACACTGGGGACATGCGACTAACTAATAGTATAAGAGGTGTCGAAACTCCTCAAGCATGGGAAGAAGCCATTCAACCTGCTACCTTCGAAGTAAGTCTTTTTCTTCTCTTTTCGGATACTTGATTGACGAGCAGTATGGTGAGTTTTGCAGATTTGATGAATGATGTGAACTAATAATAAGCTATCGAATATTCTCAACATGTAAGTTTTCTCATGATCCGAAAGAAAGAAAAAACTGATAGAGTAGTTGTTCGCTATGGTCGTCGGGTGAGTTGTGTTTTTCTATCTCTCCTTGTTCATCTGATTAGACGTTGGGAGCCGAACGAATCAAAGTTGGAGGGAAGATCAACAATTTATGAGAATAAATGTAACTTACGACCAGATTGGTTTACGCACCATTAGCTCCACTAGTCACCGTGTGTTGTACCGTTTATTTCTGGACAGCATCAATAGTAGTCAGTATTTCTCTCCCTCTCGTCTCTCTGCTCAAAATCTACTCATTCTTCTCCCATACAAAGACAATCATCAACACCTAACCCTTCTAGGTCAAAGCAATCGTATAGTCGATCTCTTATGCTCAAGCGTTGAGTGTTCTCCCTGATGATTAGCACACACATCAACTTACCTATGTGGAAGATACGAAAGAAACAGATGGACAAGCTTGGAACGTAGTTATGAACCGTGTTCTTGTCGGATTGGGATTCATGCAGTTGTTAATGTTATTAAGTGAGTGGTTTTTTTCTTTCTTCCTATCCTTCTCCAACGTTTCTCTCACGTGTTTTCGCTTTCGAGATCTTGCTCCTATGAATCCCTTTGACCTGACTTTTCCTCCCAATCTGAGTGTGCGAGTATGATCAGAGTGGAAATCGACGTAGAAGCCACGAGTGGTGGATCCGAAAAGCTCGTTTTGTTTTTCAGTTTCCGTTAAATACGAGTTGATATACGTTCGGCAGAAGTCACGGGTATCTCCGGGGTGTTCTCGAGGCGATGTGTTTGGATCATGGGGGATGAGGAAGGAAGAGGGAAGAGGGAAGAGGGAAGAGGGAAGAGGGAAGAGGGAAGAGGGAAGAGGGAAGAGGGAAGAGGTGATCAAAACTCATTCACTAACTCCCAGCCGTACTCCTCAAAACCAACTCCATATCACTCTCCGTCGCAGCTTCCCTTCCCATTCTCCTCACTTTACTCTTCACCTACTTGGTTCGTATTCATCGTCCCAAAAAGACAAACATATCTACCAGATCTTCTTCTTCCTCCACAGCACCGAATTACCTACCCGAGTTCTTGGGAAGTAATTGGCAACCTCAATTGACCATAGTGAACGCTACACGCGTGAGGGAATTGTTTGATAAAGGTAGAGGGAATTGGGGATCTGAGAAGAAGTTCGGAGGAACGGTCAAGATGGTGAGATTGCCTGATGGGGGAAGAGTGACGTTGGAAGAAGCTATGTACATGTTAGATCCTACGCTGAATAATAGGTTGGTCAATTGGAGAAGAAGGTAGGGGAGTTGGTATGATGATTTCAGCCTGAGGCGTCAAGAGTTCAAATTCACAGACTGTGGATGAATCAGAACAAGGATGGTGGATAGGAAGGAGGAGGAGAAGGCGCAAAAGAGGCAAATGAAACAAAATTTTCAGTCCAGCATGATCTGGTCTATTCATGAGTGACAGATGAATTATAAATCAATGGGATCGACGTAAGCTGTCAGAACGAACTTCACACGCATGCATAATGATGCAGCTCCCTCTGATTTTCAATTCAGATCGGATACGAGAAAGAAAGGTGGAGTGGTGGCACACAGGTATTGTGAGAATCCCATTTCTGCCTTTGAAGGGTTCAACTTTGATTCAGTCGATTGTTGGTCGAAAAAGGGTCGGAACAGATTGGAGAGTGGTCAGAGAGTGAGAGGCGAGGAAAGAGAAATGGAGCGGTGAAAGGGGACAGAAGAGGATGCAGGCATGAGAGGGGGGTTTTGAGAGGAGAAACGAAGATTTGTACAGATCAATCGAGATTTTTCGCGATAAGAGGTTGAAAGAGGAAGAGACGAAAACGTCGACGAATTAAACAACTTCGATGGGAACACCTTGATTGACACCTGATGATCGTCAGATGTGAACCTGTTCCATTTGCGCTTGCAACATACGACGCTCCTTCTCCGATTCGAGCTTATTCGTCAGTTTCATCCTCAATGATGTGTCGTGTGAATGACTCACCTGGGAGTAAAGGAGCATTAAAGCACGTTCCGTAGCGTCGGCAGTACCAACAATGGTGAACATACGTTCTCCCGTTTCATCATGAGGTGCTTTAGCGATAGAGATTCTAGATCCGGAAAGTCTACGAATCTCTGTGATTTTGGTACCACCGCGACCACTTTCACATCAGCATGTGTCCAAGTGGAAGAAAACAGAGGAAAGTTTTTGCTTACATGATACATCCCACCATGTCACTTGGAATAGAAATGTTTTGAGTACGAAGATTGGGATCGTTGACCATAGGTGGAGCATCGCTGACCCTCCTAGTTTCACTTGGAGCAGAAATACTGGGTCTACCACTCATACGTCTTTCACCACCGAATCCGAAACTAGGAGCGACACTACTCCTCCTGATCCCACCCAATCCTCCAGTGACGGTCTGAGCACCTAGACCTCCTGCCAAAACACCGGCATCTCCAGCAGCACCAGGATGATAGAGTACAGTCCCAGTGTTTCTTTCCCAATCTTCCATGAGACATTTGCCAATTTCTAGAACGGCGGTTTTGATAGCTTCGACCGAACCTTGGATCTCGACGACACGTTCAGTTGATTGAGGAAGCATTTCTTTACTAGCTACCATTCTAGCACCACTTTCATCTTGGATTTGCTTGATTTTTGCACCAGAACGACCGATGACGGTTCCCATGAGGTTGTGACTGATGAGGAGACGGACCGAGGTGAAAGCGCCCACGGGAGGAGGGGGCAAGGAAGAGTCGGACAAAGGGGTCTCGAGTAAAAGTCGAGCGACCTCGGCGAAAGCGGCAGCTACATGGTCGACGGCACCGGAAACTGAGAATACACGATCTTGAACACCGGGGACGACTTTGGAAACACCAGCTTTGACATTGGTTTTGGCACGGATGTCAGCGATGGTTTGACCTCCTTTTCCAATGAGGATACCAGCTTCTTTAGTGCTGACCAAGGCACGGAGTGAGAGTTGAGGTTCATCCGAGTGACCGTTAGGTGAGGAAGACACCTCTTGGGTGGGGGAGATATCTACACGTCAGCCAACTATTCCTTTGACTCGATGCTTGTTTCCCTTCCATCAAGACCTTCAGCTTGACTCTGCATGCTACTGAGAGAGCTTGAATAGTTTGACCGAGAAGATGCATAGAGGGGAAGGAAGAAGATAGTACATTGTTGAAGGGTACATGATGGATCAAGATTGCGATGCGGGATACTCACTGTTGTCTGCCATGATGACGGAAGAGAAGGGTTTAGGTAGCGTGATAGAGTCGGGTGACAAGTGGAGAAGAGAGAGAGAGAGAGAGATGGAGAGGAAGGTGGAAGAGACGCGGAGTTGGGAAGCGGGGAGCGAAGAGAGGATAAATGACCGAATGGGCGGAGATGAAGAGATGAAGAGATGAAGAGAAGAGAGAGAGGTTGAGAAAAGGGAGGAGAAAGGAAGAGGCGGGCGAGGTTTGGGTGGGAAAGGACGAGCGAGTGGGCCAAAAGACGTGGCCGCGCGGTGGAACGGCGTATTCCCTTACGGTGGCGAATTTCACCCTCACTTTCACTGTTCCATACGACTGGTGCAATAACCTCCTCTCTGTGTATCAGAGGGTCTCAATCGGTGCAGGCTCGCACTTGTATGATAAACAGCACGGTAGCTCCTTCTGACCGCCTTGATGCATCCCATGTTGTACAATTGTAGAGCTATCCCGTTACCGCCTTCACTTGGATCAGCAAACACCTTAGCGAGTTTCGCAACACCGCCACATTGAAAATCCCGTCTGAACGAAACTCCGCTTCCCCTATCCCTCTCCACTCTTTCCATCCCTCCTTTTCTCTTTTTCTCTCCAGGCCCTCGCGACGACTGCTACAAGCATAGCCAGAGCCCATCATGCAGATTTTCGTCAAAACGTGAGTCACTCGTCTCTCCATTCCCGTGTCATTTTGGTTCTGCTTCTTTCAACACCTGCAGGGATCTACAGCAAATGAATCATCCTGCGAAAGATTATTGAGAAAGAAACAATACTGATCCCAGTCTTCCCGGGACAACCCTCACCCTCGACCTCAACTCCGAAACCACAGTTGACAATGTCAAATCCCTCATCACTCTCCGTCAAGGTATTCCTGAATCCGAACAACGTCTCGTGTTCGGTGGTAAACAACTACAGGATGGACGTACTTTGGGAGAATATGATGTGCAGAAAGAGAGTACATTGCACTTGATGATGAGTTTGGATGGTGGTGCTAAGAAACGTAAGAAGAAGAATTACGTGGGTTCATTCTCTTATCTCGTCCCTCCTACTTCCTCCGTTTTTTTGTCGAGCTTCGATCTCTGCCATCCCATTCCCCCAGTTCTCGCCTTCGAGCTTTGATTTTCCATCCCTTTTACACCAGTCGATTCACTCGATATATGGTGTTTGATCTCATGTGGTGTGCCCCTTCCTCGAGAAGATAATTGTTCCAAGCCCTGCATCACCTGTGAAGAAGGTCACGGCTTTGCTGACGACCAGACCACCCCGAAGAAAATCAAGCACAAGCGGAAGAAGGTCAAGATGGCCATTTTGAAATACTACAAGGTCGGATCCGACGGAAAGATTCAACGTTGCGTCGTGAATGTGAGTTTGGTGATCATTCATCCTTGCACACGGCACTCTTCGTCATCATCGCTTGATCTTTGCGACTGAAATGATAGCTGACATACAGGTCCCGCCCCAACCTGTGGTGCCGGAGTATTCATGGCCTGGCACAAAGACCGTCAATCTTGTGGCAAGTGCGGGTCAGTCTTCCCATCCCACCATCTCTAGTACTGTCAACTGACCATCAGACTCACTTACACTTTCGAACCCGGTACCAAGCCCACTGTTGCTTGAGCGACATGATTTGATGGGATGCATCACTTTCGTTTGCTCATTTATTAGACTAATGAAAAACTAATCGTAGTCGACTGGTGGTAATCATGACATGAGACATAAGGTTGAGAGGACTTCATATTGGTCCGACTAATTGATACAACAATCCTTTGACTATACCTGACATTGACTCGGGTGAATGCTAAAGGGCAAATCAGCTTTCGGTTGATTGGCATTGAGGATGAACCCACTTTATAAGAATCCATCAACATGGCCATAGCTGCGGCACCCATAAGGTTGGCTCCGAACGGGACGATGGGTACCCAAGCTCTCCTGCGCGCGGACGACCAAGCGCTTTCCAAAGCTCTGGGTAAGACGTACATGGCTATGTGTCAGCTTTCTCGAGTCTGTTGGATATGTGATGGGATAAAATCTTTGCTGTGGGTTGGTAGTGGGCGTTAAAGAAAGAAATGAGTCGACATGAGGGTGAGACCAGCAGACTTACCCAGCTCGGCACGACGTTTCTGTTGATCAGCCGGGATTACCGTACTATATAGAGATGCCCAAGGGGGTCAGAAGGAAGATGTGTGATACGTTCACATGGGACTAAGCAATCGATTGATCGACAAAACGAAAACTTCGAAGAGAAAGAGGAAAAAGAAGGCGAAAGCTTGGACGAAAAAGAAGGGGGGGAAAGTGAACGGGAGGGAAAGAGGAGGAGACGCACCTTTTCTTCTAATAAAAGACTGAGACAGGTACTAAATCCCAACAACCAGAAAAACTCTTTACGTTTCATCAATCTAGCCCAAAGACTTTGACGCGAGACCTGTGAAACCATGTTGGTACGTAGACACATGAGTGCTGTAGGTAAGTATTTGTCCAAGCTGGTATTCTTCGATACATCCAGGTTCGACGACTTGTACTAGACTGTGACAAAGAATTGAAACGGTTGAACAATTTGAGATTGGGACATGATTGAAAGAGGGGGCTTAGAAGTGATTTGGCGTAGAGCGATGAGTGGATAGGAGAAAGAGTAAATTCATCTTGAGTCGAGGAGATGAACATGTAGGAAACAATACGGAAGGAGAGGAAATGGGAAAATTACTCACTCTGTTCGATCATGACAAAAGTCCCTAAGAAAGAACAACTTCGGATGATACCCCATATCATCCTAGCTAACATTTTCAATGGTGATTGTCTGACTTTATGAGAACGGAGTACGAGAGTAGGAATGATGTGAAGTGCACCATATACCGGTAACATGAATCTCTGGATGGGTCAGCTTAGACTTTGTTAAACATGATCTCGTCCGTTCGTCAACTTCACAAGCTATGGACTAGCCGCAGACTTGTACGAGTATGATGTCAACGTGGGCTTCTACATAGAAGGTGAGATATAAATGTTCTGAGCAGCGCAGGAGTTGCAGTGTTTAGGAGGAATTATGTCATAGAAACGAAAAACTCACAAAGACTGAAAAGAACCTCCGAATGTCAGTTTGGACACATGAATCCAACCAAGGATGCATCACCTCGCTGCTTTCGTCAGCTACGGAACCGCTTGGAAGAGAGCAGCTGACCAGGGTATGACATCCGGTTGCCAGCCTAGTTTGAGACGTTCCGCTATTGATCGAAGGATCGTAGCGTTGGTCGGTGTGACGCTCTGCTCATCAGCCCAAACTCGATTTGTTCAAAGTAGCAATAGAAGGAGTCTGGGTGCTAGACGGACCACACATTTTGAGGAGATATGGGGTGCAATTGCATCCGTTCCAAGGGGTAGGATGGAGAGGATTGTGATATTCCGGTTCTTGGGGACCGGGGTAGTCGTGAGATGGAGGAAGGCTAACGATGAACGGCGTAATGGAAAGCCAGTGGGGTTGAGGGTAGCAGGCTAAGGTGATGGAGAAGAGATGATATGTGGTTCGCCGATTACACGTAGAGACAAACCTCGTGACTCAAAGCTCTCTGGACGATGGAAGATTCCAACACTCCCAACTTTTCGATTGTCCGATTGGCTACCACTGCGTACGGGGGAAGTTGCGAAGCAGCGCCTATCCAAGTATTGTACTCTTTTGGCATGGTCTCGGGATTCAATAGCCACGAATACATGATTTGACCACTGCATAATCCGAACACCAAGAGGGCGCCATAAGGGATGTGGATACCGAATTGGGGGGTGTATTGATTGTATGATGCTTGAAGGCCTCGCACGAGGAGTCTAGTCGTCAGTTGACATTCTCACAGACATGCAATTGCTGTCTTCCTGTTGCAGCTATCGGTCAAATTGTTGGAAAAGCTCCGCCGAAGCGGTTTCATCACGTTGAGGGCATGAACCACATATTGAAACTCCCAGGGGCAGAGAGGGGCGGAAGAAGAAAGTGACATATGGCTTGTGATTCGTGATGGACACAGTACAGGTTTGAGATTTGACAAGATGACGGTCAAGAGGAAAATGACTTACTGCTGAGCAACCCCTGCTCTCCTACTTTTTGCCTCCCACAACAACCCCAAACTTCCTACTGCACCCGCCACAGCGGCTTGCCACCTTCTCTCTCCCTCAGGCCCCTCACGTTCAGGTGGTCCAAAAGTAGGTCGAATGAACAATCCCGCGCGTATCCGTCGTCGATAATATGACCATGGCGGAGCCAAGCGCAATAAATGCAACGTGAGAGTGTTTAAGAAAGTGAAAGTACCTATCATCGCTCCGAAACGGAATGGTTCGGGACCGAAAATTGCGTGTCGGAAAAGAGCCAAACGGAGGGGTTTTCGTCGAAATGTTCGGAATAGCATAAGAAGGACGTTGACACCTGCTCTGGTGGAGAAAGCAAGTATGAATGAGCCTAGGAGTTAGGGTAGTTATTCCTCTTTTTGGTTTCTCCACTCAAGTCAGACAGCGAATGGCAGACCGTCGAGAACTGTGAGGCAGGAGTGAACGATGAGCACACGGAAGACGCTGAAGGTAAAGGTCATGAGGAATTAGGGATAATAAGGTTGCAAAAACAATAAGTTTGGGTGTATTTGACAGTATGGGTAAAAGTTGTTGAAGTGATTGATTACACTCACGAAGACCTCGTTTCAAAGCGAGCACACCCGCTCTCTCCCCATCTTCAGGATAAACCTGTCGTTCGTCTTTCTTTCTCCATACTAAATCCCTCCCAGCTCGAGATACCTCTAACAGGAGTTGATCCCGACTGGATGTATTCGACATGTTCAAAAGTCTATCTAAAGAGGCGAGGGATAGAGTTCTACGTATTTGGTTGGCTCTGGCATGTCAGTTACTCTCCTCTTTCCCCGCTCCTTCTCCAAAATATACGAGTTGGAGCTCCAATGCCTTTTTTTGCTGCTGCACAAAAACTGTAATGTACCGTTAGTGAGCATGCAGCTGTCTAAGGCCAGGACGATGACGGATGATTCGCAGCGGAGAAGGAGAATCGATATACTCTAGGGCTTAGATAAGAGAAGGAAAAAGGCCGAAGGTTGGAAGGGAAAATGTGAAGAAAAATGAGTGGAACTTACGTCTCTACCAGATTAGGTGTACCCGGATCACTCCTCAAATAATCTCTTTGATCTTTCGGAACACCTCTCCAACCACCACCTCTCATTCCATCATCCAACTTTCGTCCTTCTTCCATTTCCCCAGGTGATTTTACCAACCCTTTATCTCCCGATATACCTAAAACGTTGTCCGAAGTTTCGATAGCAGTAAATCGTAATCTCTTTTTCTCCCTATCTCTTTCTTTGTCCTTTGATGTAGAATCTGAAGAGAGTGAAGAAGAAGTCCTACGCATGGCAGATGTGGGGGGACGTTTATGAGGTTTTTCAGGACTAGAATCAAGGATTGGACTGTTATCTGAGCTCGTATCGTTAGGACTACCTTGTAAGGATGGGCTGTCGGAATTTGACGAATTGTGAGATATTTCAATATCCTTCATATCTTCGTGAGGATGAGTCATGAGACCTGGTGGTGGAGCTGAAGAGGAATGTGAAGGAGTTGAAGAGTGGGTAAAGTGGGTGGGTTTGGTAGGTTGGGTGAGGTCGGTGGGTTGGGTATGAGAAGAGGAATAAGACGATGAGTCTTCGGTAGGAATGGTATAAGAGTTTGGTGGATGATAAGAGGAGGTAGTGAATTTTGGTAAGGGAATAGGACCAGGAGGAGGAGCAGTTCTTGATCTTTCTAATCCCATTCCTTCTTCACCTTCACCTTGCTCTCGCCCTTCTCTACTTGTACTGCCCTCCTTTTCCCCCAAGTTCTCCGGAGAGGAAAGTGACCCGACTCCCTCGTTTTGTCTGGGAGACGGTACCTCTTCAGAGCTCATATTTCCATATGCGAACACCAAAGAGGTCCCTTTGGTCGTCAAGATACAAAAATTGAAAGAAGGGAGGTTGGAGTAGTGAAAGGGAGGCGTGAGTGACTAGAGTACCATTTGGAATCTTTGGGGAGTGTGGGGTAATGTGGGGTAAAACGCGGGGGAGCAGAGAAATCTGTGGCAATGCCACTTTTTCTTCCTTCCCTGTCCGCCCTTCCCCCAAGTAATATCATGAATTGTTACCCGTCAATTTTGGAGGGGTATAGAGCTCTCTTAGGTATATATGTCATAGCTTTGATCATCTACTACACCCTGGACATGGAGGTAAAGCCTATCAGAAGCAACTAGCAGGATGGCAAGAGCAGACAAGGGTATCTCTCACATGAGTGTGAGGAAGTAGGACGAGTCAGTGGTCATACTGCCAAAAAGAAAGAAGGGAGTTAGATCATGTATCAGCATCATCATGTTTCGGACAGAGTGAGGAAGGAAAAAAGGATATGTTAACGGATGCAAAGTATTAACAAACCATACAATCATATCCCTCCTCTCAAAAACGTTAAAGTACCTTGAGCATAACCCAACATTTCCCCAATTCTCTTCCCCGCTTCTCTCTGAGCCTCACGTAATTTTACCAATCCTTCTAATAATTCTGAGTTACCCACCAACACATCCCCATGTATTTGTAAGAACACCGCTGTGAAAGCATGCACTGCTTCGTAATCTTTCTTAGAGGCCAAACGAGCCGTCAGAGCGGTGAGGAGGATGGAGAGATGGGAAAGGGAAGATAATGATCGGATTTCCAGATCTGCATTAGATGGTGAAAGGGATTTGAGGTACGTGAAGAATGAAGTATCTGGTTGTTCAGCGACTGTAGTACTTCCGTCATACCAGCATCTGGAAAGGAGGAGAGGTCCTAACTCGTACATAATAAAGTGGGATGGTAGAGAATGTGAAGGTTTCAAGACGAGCTTCTGCAGTGGTATACACCGAGGACTAAAATCTCAGAGAGATAGTGGACGTGGGGCGGATTGTGGGGTAGATTTCATGAGGTAGGAATGGATGAGAATAGGTACGAAGAAAAGGGGGTGATGAGATTGTAAAAAGACACTTAGAAAGATACCCTTCAGTTCGGCGATGTGTGAGAAGAGCAGAGGAGTTGAGGAGGACTCACAATCTCCCCCATCAGCCTCCAACCTCTTAGTAAACTCCGATTCCAACAGTCCTCCTAAACCACCGTGTCCACTGAAACCGCCCAGTCCACCTATACGTTCAACCTTCTCCCCTTCTATCTGAGTTGATAGGTCGAACCGCGTTTCCAAACCTGACACAGTGGGTAAGAAGAACGGTGCTTTTTCAGGAGCTTTAGGTGGCACTTTGGGTTTATTACGTTCCTACTTGTCAATTTCCTCACAGTGTCTCACCCTCAGGAATACAAAGTTTACCCCCTCCGGTCAAGCAAAACACCATCCGAAACAACTGAAGAAGATGGAGGATAATTGAAAGGTTCAGAATTCAAAGACATACGAAGCATTGTTACTTCTTAGACGAGCTTGAACTGGCAGAGAAGCTACAAGAACGTATGGGGACGTAGAGGGAAGTCAGGAGAACAAGTTTTTACTTGTATTCTACGGGGGAGGAGGAATACTCACCCTGATAGTATCTAAATTTAACAAAGTCTGCCACCTCGATCTCGGCATCAAAGACAAAGTCACCAACCCATCTTCCAACTGTTCGGGAGTTTCGTAACTATCCACAAATTCAGGCAACCCCACTTCTCCTGAGAAACCTACCAAATCTTCCAGACCTGAAGAAGTATCATCCCTTACAGAAGGTAAATTACTCTGTATCAACTCGGCTTCCTCGTCAATCGCCTTGAGAGGTACATCAGTGAATTGAGCACGATTAGCCCAAAGATGTACTCCTAGTGAATCGACATGTGAGGTGGCGAGGAAATCGCCGGTTGGAGAAAAAGTAAGAGAAGTAGGGATGGAGGGAACTTGAAAAGCATCGATTAAACGACCGGTGGGTATGTCGAATGTTCGGATGGCAGAATCGAGGGATGCTGCGATGAGCCATCGAGAGTCGGGGGAGAATGTCTGGGGATTAGTTCAACTTTCGTGTTCTATCGGATAGGGGTCGAAGGGTGGTGGGAAAGCTTGGAGCCGGAAATAGATGGTTGAGCATCAGACGACGGGTACGACGGGGAGTTGGGCGGAGGTGGGGTTGGGAAAATGAAATGAGGAAGAATTAAGCGAGAATGCCTGATAGGAAAAGTAGCCATCAACCTTCGATGAAGTGTAGATTTGTGCAGGAGAGCCACTACCATATAAGTAGCAAGGGTATGAAAAAGCAAAAAGTAAGTAGAAGAAGTGAAAGATACTCACAGTGTCCAATATTCTACCCTTGAAACCCCTCAACTCACGCACAACTCGTCTAGTCTCAACATCTACCAACCTCACTATCAGATCGTCACATGTAGCAGATAAAAGTCCACTGTCGCGTTGTAAATCAAGTGCGGTGATAGGTGAAGGAAGTGCGAGTCGATGTAAGAGTTTAGTAGTGTGGAAATCGAAGAACTGTCGATTAATTGCGACCTGACTGAAATTGCAACTAATCCGGTCCCTGCGTAACTTACTGAGTATAGAGAGACCATTCGAAAGAGTCACGCCAGGGATCCTGAGCAGTTGAGTATGTACGAGGTCCTTAAAAGTGGAGGTGTCGAGGAGGCGAAACCAGGGTACAAGGGAAAAGCGAGACCAAGAAACTTTGAGATTGCACCTAACACTCACGTAGATCTTCCCCTCGATTGTACTAGCCACGACAACAGTATTGAGTGCATCCGTCGCCAGACCCGTTATAGCCGCTCCTTGTTGCCTCAACGTCTCCCCTTTTGACTTTTTTGTGACTTTCGAAGTCCCAGTGCCTAAAAGTCCATTCAAATGGTACGTCCGACGATGCTTGCCAGATTGCATATTCCACATTTTGATTTCCCCAGTTGAAGAACCGATGATACCAAAGTTTCCACATGCGGAGACACATACCGCCTACTTGTCAATCTTTTATCAAACCACAACTTCACCCCCCAGACGTGATCAGTGGATGCGGAATCTGTTAGAGAGGGGATGAGTCAAAGGATATAAGTTAACGACTCACCTGTACAACACCATCATCTACCTCTAACAAATGTCCTCCCATCTTCTTATCCAAAACTTTCCATGTCCTTGCCCCTGGCTCATCCTGATGTGCAGTCAATACATCGTCCCAGTCTTTTGATCTTATGGAACAACTCGACAACGCAGTTATCGGAGCCAATTTGAGCTCTGAAACGGACATTCCCAATGCTTTGGAACGTTTATGGAAGGATTGACCTTGAGATAGTTCGTGACTGCGAGAATCACGGACTACGCTTGTATATCTCAATGAACGATCTCGACCGGAAGTGAGGATTTGTTTGCCGTCAGTACCGTAATATCGGATCAAAGTGGGAGGGGAATGATGTCCGCCACGATGTTTGAGAAGCCGAGGAGGGGAGTCTGGAGAATCGCACAGCCATTGCTGAGTGTCAATAATTTTATCTCACGTTTACTGTGATCGATATTTTGTCGTGGGTAGGTCCTTAATTTGTGGATAATTCAATGGAAAGGGAAGAGAGCCAATGATACGTATACACTCAAACTACATCGTAGAAGAGGATGCTGTATATGGTAGAGTAACGCATAGATATTGTGGCAAAGAAAGGACAAAAAGACACCCACTTTGACAGTATTGTCTCCACTAGACGTAATGAACAGAGGTTGTCCTGGGACCCATTCCAAGGCTCCGACGCTCTGCTCATGCGCACCTCGGAGGACATGTAATATCCTACCTTCTTTGCTCAAATCCCACAAAGCGACAGAACCTGAGGTAGAACCAGCAGCCAGAACGGGCACACCATCTGAGAATGATTAGCACCAGTACTTCAAAAAGGTAGCCACTTACCCATACGGAAAGACAAAGCAGAAATCCCACCATCGTCCATTTTCATTTGCATTATGGACTCTCCTTCACGTATGTCATATATGTCTACCGTGCCGTCCAAGTGGCCTACACCGACAACATCGATTGCCGGCGATTGGACTAAAGCTGTGATGGGGGATGATGTTGGAGTAAAGTTGTGTATCAGTGAGCTGGTGGGTAAAGTCAGCGTAAGAAGAACTAGAAAAGGGGGAAGACAAACCATGTTCGGGTGTTATAGAGTGCTAATTGACCTTGAGAGTCACCTATCAAGATTTTGTTGAGGTATGTTGCGGGATGAAGTAGTACTGTAGCTTTGAATGTCGGAGGAAATTGGATTTTGTTGACCAGCTCTACCCAGATCAGCGTCAACTTCACGGACCTCTAAGATCCTCCCAGGGGGATGGCCTGTGAAAGGCAGGAAAGGTCATCCTCACCTTTACTTTGAATATCCCAAATCAACAACCCCCCTCCATCCTCAGTCAGTCCCACAAGCTGTTCACCAAATATCAAAATCTTTCCCACTTTATCGCCTCCACTTTCATACCTCCCAACCGCCTTCCCTCTCAAATACCTGGTCACTCCATTACCACACGCAGCATACACGTCCGTTCCCGTCTGCGCCAAACTGGTGATCTGTTCCCCTGAATCTGGTCCGACGAACAACAAACCCATACGTCCAGCTTCCCACATCATCCAGCTCCGTCCAATGGAAGTGACGATGTTCACACTTGGTTTCGCCAACGCTCCCCTAGATGAATGAACGAACATGGAGAAGGGAACATGATTGGATACATGGCCAAGGGCACGGAAAGGGGCAAAGAGTCTAGAAGAGGGAGGGGGTTGTGAGGGTCCAGCATGACCGGTTGCTTTGCCTTTTCGAGTACGTTTTTCGGGACGATGTGTCATGATTGCTCGTTCTCCACACTTCTTACACCGTTCTCTACCACGGGTGATAGTTTCGAGGCTGGCAGTAGAGGATTTGGACGATCGACGAGGAAAGATATTGAAGCAGGGTGGAAGTGAAAGTTGGAGATTTTGCGTCACGTGACGTTCGGGTACGGACTTTGATCCCAACTCCGTGTGTCCGTCCAAAAAGTTGCATCTCACACTCTATTACTACTAACTTAGTAGTACTCACTCTCTCCTCTCTATCAATCTCATCTCGACATTATGCCAGCCCGTGCTGTTAGGGTGGCTTCGCTCTTGGCTAAGGCGTCAAAAGCTGGCATCGCTTATCCTGCTCGACTACCTTTCTCGACGTCTCCGGTTCATTTCGACAAGGACACTACAGGCTCCCCTGAAACCTTCCCCTCAACTCCTTCTTCTTCTCCTCGGCCATCGCAAGCAGAGTATGTGCCTCTACTCCTTGAATTAGGCATAGTGCTGATTCATAGCGACTCGTTCTCTCCTCTCCCTCCTGCTCTCTCTGGATCATCTCATCCTGCTTCTGTTCTCGCTCAACGGGTTGGCGAATTTCTGTCCGACCAGTCTTCCTCGTCGTCTCAATCTTCACACCCACCCCCATTTCCCCCTTCATCTTATCCCTTCATCTCACAGTCAATATCAACAAATTTACCAAGCCCCTCAGATGCTCTCAAACCGGCATACATGCGAGACACCTTGTTGCCCTCCTACACCCCTGCTCCTCGCAAAAACAAAGGTGTGCATTCCTCCAAATTACGTGCACGCGGTCATACACCTCATGAACACCAGCGAATTGATTCAGTCCTTCAAGGTATCTTTGCCCAACTCGACAAAGACGACGCTCTCGGTCCTTACACACACACCAGTCGAGATCTCTACGGCTCTCCGAGACGTCCAACCTTGTACGGTATCCCTGGAGTCGTAGGTCGATCAAGAGGACCAATGAGCAGATTGCTAGATCGTGAAGTCGGAGAGGAAGATCCAGAAGTTACGGAGCAACTGGAAGCTTTGAAAGAAGAGATGAGTATGTGTAATACGGATATGGAAATTCTGGCATGGGCGAAAGAAAGAATCCTGACACCTCTTCCTTCTTCGAAAGCTCAAAATTCTTCCCCGGTACATGATCATACGAAATCCGACATCACGTCGTCCGCAATCCATATTGACTCCACTCCTCAGTCGAATACATCCGATTCGATGATCGACGTTGATACCAACCTAGATATTCAGGAAACCTTGACTTACCCAAAAGTCTATCCCCTCATTCTCGGTCAACTCCTTCGGACCATCCGAATACACTATAACAACCCTTACCTCGCCCTAGCCATCTTTCAACACGCTCAGACCGTTTCCGTGGAGTCATATCTCTCCGGATGTCTTGCTCCCGCATACAACGAGGTCCTGCGAATCCGATGGGAATCCTTTCTCGATCTTTGGGGTTTAGAACATGGCGTGAGAGAAATGGAAGTGAACGGTGTGGCATGGGATAGAGGGACTTTCGACATTGTCAATGGAGTAGTAGAGCAAATCAGTAGGGAGCTACTTGATCCTGCTGGTCTGGCAAGATGGGGGAATGAGGCAGCCAAGGTAGTGGCGCGGTTAGAGAAGCGCGTTCAAGCGGACGTGAGGAACGAAGCTTTCATTCAGAGCGATAAGATGAAAGCGAGGGCTAGGACACGGGAGAGATATGAGAGGGAACACTCAGTGCAACGGACAGTGCAACGGACAGTGTAACGGTCAGTGTAACTGGAACATGATGAGTTGCTCCATTGATTCTGTTCTGAAAACACTGTTGCACATGCATTCCACCACAAATGAAGTACTAGAAAGGTTGCACTCATTTAGATTATGTCTGAGTGAGTAGGTGACATTCTCCAGGCTGCAGAGTAGAGTAGGAGTGTAACATTACCCTGCGGCTCATACATGAGATATTATGAGCTCTGGAGAGATGGTCATTGCATCACTCATACCCACTCATCATCTCATCTCATCTCATCTCATCTCATCTCATCTCATCTCATCTCATCTCATCTCATCTCATCTCATCTCATCTCATCTCATCTCATCTCATCTCATCTCATCTCATCTCATTGTCTCATTATGATCACATATATACAAGGGTGGAAGAGTGAAAGAAGGAACTGACCAGACCCTGTACCCCATAGAGAAACAAATTGACACAGCATTGACCAGGGCCTTGTGCGAGGCTGCCAGTCTCACCTTGTTGCTCAACCATGAGTTATTTGAGGCTTTTGACTATCCAGATGCTGACTGAGCAGGTCAATACTCTGTGAATTTAAGGAGCGCAAGCTCCGATTCATCTGCAGGGAATGGTTTTGTCTGTCCTAAAGAAGAATGGAAGTCCATGTCCTCAGGGCTTATAGTAAAAGGTGTGCAGACCATATCCTGAGAGCGCACAGCTAGGAGGGCATTTTGAACCCAGAGGTCTTGAGTAGAAGATTTCCATCCAGTGTGTCACGAAGTGACAAGACAGTTTGATAGTGATAGTGATAGGATGGGTTGGGTATTTAACCAGCGACCGGCGGTATGCAGTAACCGCCGGTTAATAGGCCTTTTAGCACAGTGGTTTAGACCGCTGCCTCTGAAGGGCACTGTTATATCGTCCCAATGCTGGTTAGTTGGTCTCGTGACACAGTGTCACGTCAACTTCGCCCTTGGGTTTCTCACATTGGATCAGATGATACATCATTCCCAACCCTGTCTCATTGTATTTCAAAGCAGAAGCTCTGAACTCCGCTGTCTGTGAACCACTTGGATTGGCGTAGTCAGTTGGGTGAAAGGGACTGGTGACATGAAACTTGGGTACTTGCTGCTTGGATTCTGTGGTGTGATTATGATCTGCACCAAAAGTTGCTGTCTGTCACGGCTGTCGAACAACTACTCTCTAACAAACCGACGGTCGACGAACCTCAGCTAACTTGACGCTTCTAAGTCGATGTCTCACCCAACCAGGAGGGCGCAGACGTCGAAAGGAGTGTAACTACGGCGTACTTCGACGTAGTTACTCTAACTGGGGTTTTTCTCTGATGGCGCTGTATCTTAATTTGTATGTAGCTATCTCTATCAATCTTTCACTACTGACATCAATCAAGGATTGCTGAAGAACTTCAGGGATCTTCTCAGCTAATATTATCTACTCCTCCTAGATCTTCACCCAACCCTCTCGCGCTTAGACGTACTTCAACGCACTTCGTCCAACTTCCCCGAGTCCCGGCCGTCCTTCTCCGTCCTTCGACTAACCCCGCCTAACATTGCCGCACTTCTGCTCCCATTGTCCCTAGTCCACCTAACTCTGCCTAACATCGCCGCACTTCTGCTCCCATTGTCCCTAGTTCACCTAACTCCGCCTAACATCGCCACACTTCTGCTCCCATTGTCCCTAGTTCACCTAACTCTGTCTAACTTCGCTGTACTTCGTTGTCCCTATGCTCCAGGCCCCCGTATATCTTATTCTCCAGTTGTACTTTGCCGTAGCTGGTCTCAGATGTCCTGAGTTACGTGTAGAGTAAAGAGGTTAAGATGTTATAGGGGTTTTGATGGTCAAAGGAGGGTCATTGTTGGTGGGATAATCGAGGTGTCACGACGTAGTTCGTGACACTGTCACTGGCACTGGACTTGCTGTAACACTGTCACGAATATACAACTGATGGTGATGAAGCCGCACGTCACGAGGACCAACTAACCAGCATTGGCTCGATATAACAGTGCCCAACGGAACAGTGATCTTAACCATTGCGACGAAAAGGCCTATTAACCAGTGGCTACTGCAAACCGCCGGTCGCTGGTTAAATACCCAACCCATCCTATCACTATCACTATCAAACTGTCTTGTCACTTTGTGACACCGCAATGGCGTGTCTCAAACAGTCTTAAAGGCCACAGGAAGTTAGAGTAGAAAGCTAGAATCAAAGATGACAATTGATCAGAGAGACAGAGAAAGAAACAGAGAGCTAGAACCACTATTTATAGACAAAAACCTCAAAACTGAGTGTAACGGTACTGGAAACACGATGACTAGGTTGCAGGTTGGGTCGAACTCGATGGAAGTCTTGTAGAAGTCTATGTGTCTCCGGTGCTATGTGATGGATCGTGTCTCCTCTGCAATCGATGTAGCCAAAGACTGATATTGAAGAATCAGCAAAGTTGGTACTTTGCTGATTTGTACTATACACTATCTACAGGGATCCGTGTCCTCCTCTCAGTTCCTACTGCAAACGTCTGTGTACATACTCGGACAGGTAAAAAACCGCTTTTGAGCAAACCCAGTGGGGAAATCTCGAAAGGGGAAAACCCGTCCCTACCTAATGCAGCACTGCCTCCAACTCCCGCTTTCCTCCATCCTAATCCGTCGAACTCGATAGAGTTCTCTCGAATCGCTGTTACCCCATAACACTGAGCCTAAAACTCCTTCCTCTCCTCTCCTACTTCCAGGGGGGAAACCCTGAGGAAACCCTGTATCAAAAACAGCATTTCAAATGACTGACAGAAGGCTCTGTATCATCCTGGAAGCCCCTTGAAGCCCCCTAGAAGAGATCTCATCATTAAGAGTTGAAAACCACTTTAGGAAGCATATTTAGCCCATATTTGAACCTCTCAAACCTCTACCAAACCTGCAGGACCGAACCAGGTATTTTTGGGTCGAAATCTGCATAATGTGGGCGCTTAAGAAACACCCTCTGAACCCCCTGAAAGATCAGAGCTCAGCCAAGAGTTTCACTTCTGTCACAAACTACGCCGTGACACCTCAATTATTCCACCAGCAATGACCCTCCTTTGACCATCAAAACCCCTATCACGTATCAACCTCTCCACCCTACACGTAACTTAGGACATCTGAGGCCAACTACGGCAAAGTACAATGGGAGAATAAGGTATACGGGGGTCTGGAGCATAACGGCGGTGAAGTGCGGCGAAGCTAGGCGGAGTTAGGGGGACTAGGTGTCACAAAGTCACAAGTCAGTTTGGTTAGAGTTGATAGTTATGGGTTGGGTATTTAATCAGCGACCGGCGGTTTGCAGTAACCGCCGGTTAATAGGCCTTTTAGCGCAGTTTCCACCTCGGCTAAGTGGTTAAACTGGCTAGTCATTGATGGTGGAATGGGAACTATCAGTGTAATGTGGTCATGGGTTCAATTCCCATGCCGACCAAGGGGGTTTCTCCGGGCACTCCGGTTCCCCTTGTACATGAGTCTGTGCAAGCCATTCATGCTATAGTTCTTATAGTAGGCTTGTTTTAGCACTGGGCTTGATGCCTTGTGCACAGCAGCCTCCTCCCAAATCAGGTTTAGACCACTGTCTCTGAAGGGCACTGTTATATCATCCCAATGCTGGTTAGCTGGTCTCGTGACAGATTAACCAGCGGTTACGGGTAGGATCCTGGGTTCGACTCCCAGGGTGGGCTGGGTCAAATTCAGTCCCTACTTGGAAAACCTCCCCCTCGGAGAAAGTTTTCGGCCTATTGTACCCTTCCCCGTTGGGGCCCCGAGACGGGGCTGAAAGGGAAGGCCTAATGTCACGAAGTGACAAGACAGTTTGATAGTGATAGTGATAGGATGGGTTGGGTATTTAACCATCGACCGGCGGTTTGCAGTAACCGCCGGTTAATAGGCCTTTTAGCGCAGTCCACCTCGGCTAAGTGGTTAAACTGGCTAGTCATTGATGGTGGAATGGGAACTATCAGTGTAATGTGGTCATGGGTTCGATTCCCATGCCGACCAAGGGGGTTTCTCCGGGCACTCCGGTTCCCCTTGTACATGAGTCTGTGCAAGCCATTCATGCTATAGTTCTTATAGTAGGCTTGTTTTAGCACTGGGCTTGATGCCTTGTGCACAGCAGCCTCCTCCCAAATCAGGTTTAGACCACTGTCTCTGAAGGGCACTGTTATATCGTCCCAATGCTGGTTAGTTGGTCTCGTGACAAGTAGGGACAATGGGAGCAGAAGTGCGGCAATGTTAGGCAGAGTTAGTTGAAGGAGGAGAAAGATGGCCGGGGGCTTGGGGAAGTTGGACGAAGTGCGTTGAAGTACATCAAAGCGCAAGAGGGTTGGGTGAACGTCTAGGAGGAGTAAATAATATTGGCTGAGAAGATTGCTGAAGTTCTTCAGCAATCCTTGATTGTTGTCAGTAGTGAAATATTCATAGAGATAGCTACATTCAAATCGAGATACATTGCCATCAGTAAAACAAAACCCTAGTTAGAGTAACTATGTCGAAGTACGCCGTAGTTACACTCCTTTCAACGTCTGCGCCCTCCTGGTTGGGGGAGACATTGTCACAATCGTCGTTTCTTCTTCTCTACTGACCGGCGGTCGACAAACCTCGGCTAACTACTTTGTAGTGGGGCGTCGATGTCTCACTAGGACAGGGTACTCGTTGAGGAGCTATGGCTAACTTCGCCGTAGTGATACGTCGAGTGGTAAATGATAAGATGATCGTCGATGAACTGCGGCTGACTTCGCCGTAGTGCGTCGAACTGCTCGGTGGTAGCTCTCCCTAACTTGATGGTTGTAGCTACTGAATATATCTCTCGCTACTGACAACAATCAAGGATCGCTGAAGAAGTTCAGCGATCTGTAGACTATCTATACTACTCCTCTCTTCTCATAGAACGTCCCTCAACTCCTGCACTGCCTCACGCTCAGTCCTCTTCGTTCAACTTCGCCGTACCTCGCCATATCCCCAATGTCCTACTGCGCTCACTTCGACTAACTTCACCTAACTTCCCCTGTTCTGCTCTCCCTCGGTTCCCTTCCC